ATTAATAAATTGCCAAGTTTTTGTAATTAATTCATGAAAATTTATAGCTGCACAGCAAATTTGGAATTATAGACAACATTCTTATACAATTTTTGTACATGATTTGTTGCTAGTTAATTTGTTATTAATAATTATTTGATGATATTTGTGATTTCGTAACAACGTTCGGCATGATTGTTCGTTAAAATATTTAATTTTAAACAAAACTAGAAGTAAAATATGAACAAAAATGATATGTGAACGTACCTAAGGATATTATTTTTATAATGTATGCATGTAATTCATAAATTAATCGCATAAAGGGAAGTAATTAATAACAAACCATTGTTACCTTCGGCATCAATTCAAACAGCTTGTGCAATAATTGCTAATAATTAATTAATTAAAAAGAAATTTATTTCCAAAGTTGTATTAGAAAATTTTTGAAGGGTGCGTCTTTACGATGAAATTATAAAAGTTCATTAATTAATTACAGAAATCGAGTAATTTGTTAATTTTTCACTGTCGAATAGTCTCTATTACTTTCCAACTATCTTCTATCTTCGTCTATAACGTCATGGCATTAATTTTCGAAGTTTTATCCTTGCCTAAGTTATTGAAGATAATAGCGCGATATCAACTGATTACAATAGGTGGGTAAAAATCATGCGTTTTTATAAAAAACTCATAATTTTCGAAAACTTAACGTGATAAAATAATTTTAATTACGTATTCGTTTTTGGGAAAGTAAACACTGCAAGAATTACCAAATGTATATTATAATTTTATAAAATCTTTACATTTTAGTACATTTTTACATTTAGTTTCTCAATTGATAAAATATACGTTTCTAAAACGTTTCCAAATACAACAATCGAAAGGAATCTTTCTCCTAGAAAAGTGAACTATGACGACTAAATTTTTAAAGCGCCTGCGAAAATGCAATCGCATTTGAATGTTCTAATATTGCAATCCATAGAATACATATATTTTTATTTTACGTAAAAATATTGCTAATTTGATAACGAAAAATGAAATTTTCAATACAGAATGAAAAGAATGATGATATGTAATAATTTCATGAACTAATTTATAATACTAATAATTATATATTATAATAGTAAATCAATTCACATTGTGAGATTTAAATTCATTAAAAAGATTTAACATATATGTATATAAATTGTACAGTATATGTGCACTTTATTGTATATAAGTAATACATTTTTTCTAACGTTTATTATGTTATAAAATATGAAATAAATAATATGAAATTTATATAAGAGAAATATAAATTACAATTTTTTTTTAATATACTATTGGATCCGTTTGTACAGTTTTACTTTCTACCTTTGTGTCCTTGTTTAAGGAACAATACTTATTTGCAATATTAACTATTTCTCGTAATGTAGTATTTTCTTCCTTTAGACTACTGTACATTTCTTTTTCTTTCATCTCATTTTTTTCATCTACAGCAACTGCAGTTTTCATTACTGCTGCCATTTCATTAATTTTTTCCGCTTGGTTGATAATTATCTGTAACTTTAAATAACTTAAAATGTTAATTCACTACATGTATGTTAAAAAACAATTAAAGTACACTGTAATATTTATACTTACATTAGCATATGTTGCATTGTGTAATGAAGGAAGATCTGTTTTACAAAGACGCAGTAAAGATGCTGTGTGTTGCCTGTATTTAGACATAATTAATTCAAGAGCATGATGATGATCCTCTAATGCCTTTTTCAATTCCTTATTTTCAGCTTGTAATTCTTGCAAATGTTTAATTTCTCCGTGTATTCCTGCGATTAATTGTATATGTGGCTTGTGTTTTGCTTGAGTGTTCAAAATATCTACCTCTTCTTGATACTATGAATATATCATTAAAAAAAATATATAATTAAAATAAATAAAAAATATAACAAATAAATTTTAAGAAGTTTGATAACAAAGAATTTTATTAATAATATAGAGATATAAGTCCTCAACTCATTTTATTTTCATATCTTTTAATTTACTTGGTTTATTGTTATATATTTTTTTTTCTTGCATTATTGTGTAATACAAATAAATTACCTGCTTCATATTGGCAATTTGAATACAAACTGACTCTATTTCGCTTATCAAATTATCCGCTATATCTTCATGTTCCGATATTTTGATTACTAACTTTTTAGCATCCAATATTATTTGTTGAAAAGTTAATGACATCTGTAAACATGTATAAATATAAACATAAGTTTTAAAACATAATTTTGATTATAAATATTTAATTTGTCCTATTACACATATATGTTTATTTATAAAATATTGTTTGCGTGGTTTGAACTTTAACTCTTATATGTATTAACTCTATATTTGTTTTACATGATATATATCAAAAATATGTTAACTGAGTTTTGTTATTTCAATCCAATAATATAGATTATGTCATTAAAGTATAAATTAAGGTTAGTTGATGAAAATTATTTGTGGATTTCATATTTTTGTAATATTTTACACAAATGTGATATTTATATTAAAATAGCTTTTAAAATAAATTATAAAGTAGAATAATTTCTATTAAAAGTCTTCCAATAATTTTATATAACCACCATACAATACTACGAAGATTAATTCATGGAACTTTAATATGTATAATTATATAAGTGTATTTATAAGTATATTTTATCGGTGTACCTTTATTAGTATATTTGTAGCAGATTTAATTCATAAATTATAATAAATTGAATTATATTAATTAGGTTAGACTCGTATCAAAGCTGTGAATAACATATTTCAGGATAATTTTGAAGAAAATATTTTTTACTTATTTCTTGTCGATGAAACACCTAATATTACAAATTTTAGTATATTCTTATTTTTGTAACTCACTTGGCTTTAATTGTATAATAAATGAATGAGATCAACGTCACACGAAAATACCTTCTCCTTTAATGGATAAGTTTGTTTATTTTCAATCACTTCCGTAAGATCATTGGTCTACCAATCACAAACTGACTATGTATAAATGTTTTTTTTATGTCATACATTCTTATATGTACATTATTAATCAACAGGGTCAGTTATAGCTTTTTCATTGGTAAAATTTGTTCTTTCCTTAAATTTTGTTCATCACAATGTTTTGATTATAATGACTAAATACATCTTTTCGTCAAAAAATGTTCTATAGTCAAAAGTGAATAGACGAAATTTATAAAAATTTTGTACGGTGTTGTTATATACCATGCTATTGATTGTTATATTCCAGTCAATAATAAAACTTATAAGTGTTTCAAAATTACAATAATTAATGTTTGTTATCAATAATTATTTGTTACTTTCTTAAAATTATTTATTTTTCATAAGAAAAATTGTACTTTATTAATACGCTTGATTCAATTTAATTCATTTGATTGAAAATTATATAAATAAATGCTTTTATTCTTTTCATTTTCTATTTTCAAAATATAACTTGTGTAGAAAGTAAATTTTTAAAACGTCCAACAGTTTTGATAACAGTCCTTTTACTCAAAGATTAAAATTTTATCAAATTCTATCAACAGTAAAGGAAGTTCTACAAAGTACAAATTGTATATAATTTTTAATATAATGTATTAAACAGAAATATTATACTTCATTATATTATATTTTATTTTAAAATAAATAATATAAACAATACTTATAAAAGGGTCTGTTGTAATAGGAATAAGTGTTAAAAAATATTTATTTACATGTTGTAATACAAATATTGTTGTTTTAAATTATGTTTAAAAAATATCTTATTGAATTTGTTTCAACCACAGAGAAATGGGTAAATTTAAAAATATAGAATAAATTATTTGTCAAAACTATTTTGGATTTAAACAAAATAGTGTTTGATTATTATGTAATAGTGGTGAATACTGATAAAATTATCAGTAAATGTTATTTGTTTTGTACTATACATTATCTACTTCCATTGCAGGATTATCATAAGATTTTTTCGATTCTGCAGTTTCTTTATCATTTTCTTCTGCCCAACTCTGTTTTTCACCAGATGCAAATAAACCATATATCACAGCTCCTATCAAATAAACAGCACCAGCGATAATAAAAACTGTCCTCCACTCTTCAGCGCTCTATAAAACATATTTCAAATTAATTAATATTTGTTTTCAATATTTATTAATTGTTAACTGATAATCAATTTCATGTATTGATATTATAATTAAATATTCTATAAAGTAGAATAATGGAATCTATAGACATAAATTCAATTAAGTATTCCTTTATAATCAAAGTTTGATTGGAGATGAAAAATTTATTCAAATTTATATTTAAACTTACTTTATTCTGAACAATATATCCAGTAATTTGTGGACTCATAATTCCAGGTAAAGTTGCAATAGTATTTCCGATTCCCATAAGTACACTTGCATGCTTAGGTGCAATATCTAAATGATTTACTCTATAAAAAAATATTTATATAATATAATATTTTTGTAAAGTGAAATATATAGCCAATGCATAATTTATTTAATACATTAAGTTAATAAATGTTTAATGTATGATAAAATGTTGATTAATAAAATAATACTTTATATACATTATTTAATTCAATTCACTCAACTACTTTCTAAATTATATAATATTTTCAATAAATAAATAAATGTATATGTTCATCGTTGTTGAATAATTTTTTAATTAATATAGTAAATTTACGAATTACGTTTTTGAATTCATATGAAAATATTATTGCATAATTATTACATATTAAAAATGTTATTCAGTGATTATTCTTGAATGTTTTATTAATATTTTTTTTCGACTTCATATTTTTATATTTAGAATTTGAAAAAATTACCCAAAACCGGACCAAGCAAAACCACCAAGGCCAACTGCTATGGTGATACAAGTAACTACTGCTGCTGGTGTTAAGATAAAACCTGTACAGGTCATAAATATTGTTTGAAATATAAAAGCTCCACAATTAAATAATTTACGCACCTGAAACAAAATAAGTAGTTTAATATTTGTATTATGTAGAATCCAAAATTAAATACAATGTGAAAACATGCTAAAATCAATAAAATATAAATAAAATACCAACTAGATTTTATGTTAAAATATTATATTAGGTACAAATATCTAATAATAAACCTGTGTAGTGGTTAAAATTTTCTTTGTTCTTAAATAGTCGGCTAAATGTCCAGAAAATTGAACGATTAGTGTCATAGCTACATACGGCAATGCGGATAAATAACCAGTCTTATCCAATTTGAAGTCAAGTACATCTAAAAATAAATTACTGAAGTATAATTTATGTTGCCGAATATATTTATTAAATATTTAATTGGATTAACCATTCATAAATGTTGGTAATTGAGTGAGCATAGTGTAAAATCCCCAATTTTCGCTAAAATGTGCTGCAACAATTGCCCAGACTGGTGGTGATGTAAGCATTGCTTTCCATGGATGTGTAATTTTCTAAATAAAAAACAAAATAATTAAGAAATTTTATTTATTTTATTTTATGAAAAATTTTATATAATTACCATAAAATGGGATAATGTATTAAATATATTGCAATAATTATAAGAAAATAGATTATATTTTCTTTTATATTTTAGTTAAATCGTCAAAAAAGAAAAAAAGAAAATAAAAGACAAAAAGGAAATTATTAACGATTCATAAAAACAAAACGATTAAAAAATAGTGTTTGGTTGAATAGAGAATATAAATAAATAGAAAAAAATGTTACATTACATGTATTGTAAGTTAAATTTACTTTATTTTCCGAGTTTCCAAGGCTACTTTTAATATATTCAAGTTCAGCTTCGGAAATAGATTTATCGTCCTCTGGTTTATCCTTCACGACTATCCACCAGTAAAAGAACCAAACAAGACCAGCTGCTCCAAAAACGTAAAAAACAGAAGGCCAACCAAGGTATTCGGCCATCAAACCGGCAACCGGCATAGCGAATACCGTTCCAAAGAAACTTCCGGAGAATGCAAGAGTCGCTAATTTTGATCTTTCCAGTGGAGGTGCCCATTGTGCCCATATTGCATGTATACAAGGATACGTTACACCCTGAATTTAAATTATTTTTATTATTCGAGAAATTATTCGAGTAATTAAAGAATATAAAAGAAAAAAAAAATATATGCGCAAATAATTTATATAATTGAAATTTTAATATCATCTACCTCACAAATTCCTTCTATTATTCTTAAAGCGATTAAAATGTAAACATTTATTCTGGCCAAGGGAGGTGTAATAATTGTGAGGAAAGCTGTAGTTGCAATTCCAAGACCGAAAACTCTCTTTCCACCAATGCGTGCACTAAGCCATCCACCGAATAATTGGGTACTGATATATCCATAAAAAAATGAACTTAAAACCATTCCTTGCATTGCTGGATCCCAGTCGAATTCTCTTTCCTATAAATAATATTCTAAATGCATTAAAAGTGATCGAAGTTAAAATGCGATTTGTTTTTTATATAATACAATATTTTTGTTAACTTCGAAAAAAAGGTTGATTAGTTGCTTTTTATTTATAAATATTAATAACTGTTAATGTGTTGAACTTTTTATAACTTTGTCTTTTCTAAACTTTTCAATAAGGGGAAAGAAGCAAATTAATAATAAATCTATTTAAAGAATATGTAAAATATTTTTTATTAATGTAATGTCAAGCACAATTCGAAAGAAAACGACTTTTTAGGTATTATAGAGCATTAAAACAGAATTGCTCATTTTCTAAAGTACGAGTAGCAATTAATAGGCTTTTCCTCGTATAGATAAGGATACTCAAATCCGATGATTACCTTACGATTGATAAGAGAAGTTTTTTACTCTAATCCTTCGTATTAATATGTCATTAAAAGTATCGCATAGCTATATCTACTTACATCATGTAAGAGTCATATCATTAATCCATTAAGGCAATTTATCTCAAAAATAGCATCACTTGAATTGCGTGCTAAAATTTATTTCACAGTATACATAATGTGATATAAATATTCGTCTATATATAATTCCATAAATTCGAAAACGACTTAATAATCTTATTGTAAAAGTATAATCAATTAAACATAAAGGTAAAGGTAAATATTCAAAAGACGAACAAAATTTATAACAAATAATAGCAGATAATAAGTAATTTTAATAAATAATAATAAAAGTTAAACTTTAGACGATATCTTTTACTTACAAAATATTCGTTTCCATTTTCATCAATTTTGCAAACCTTCGCGGTCATCGCAACAATGGCCACGCTTAAATTTACGCGAAGTATGTAAGACGTAAAAAATCCGAAAAAGGCTAATACTGCGACTACATATCTCCTCTTTTTCCAAAATTTCCAAGACGGTATGATTTCATCTTCGTATTTGGCACTAGAAGATTACCAACGTCATAAATTTAAAAAGAATGTTGCGATTAATAAATACAATTTTGATTATTTTTTAAATAATTAGTAATTTTTAAACAATGGTATATTTTAGGTCGAGTGTATTATCCAAAACTAATTGTTATTGCGTTAATGTATTTAAGTCCTGAGTGAAAATATTAGTAAAAGGAAATCATTTTGTAAAATTGTATATGATATATCTCTTAAAGAATGAACGTACTCTTAGCGCAATGGAGCAATCAATTGCAAAAGTAGGTATGCAATATATAATACTCACGTTCCATACTCGGTATCCTTGGTAGATTCAACCGGCGATTTCTTTCTCTCCATCGTTTCCTGAAAGGTTATTGTTATCAAATACGATTCAGAAAAATCTCATTTACCAAGTTATAAAGGAATTAGCTATGCAGTTTATCTTTATACGTTACGAAAAAGATTGATTAAAACTCTGTTCCTAATTTTGCAACACTTTTTTTTAATTAAACAAGTTAATAAGTTTATAATTTTTTCTTTATATTATTTTAATATTGTAGTACATAATATTTTGTGAAAATTAATTTTAATTTGGGTATGACATATAATAAATTTTTCATACTTTACTGAATATTGAATACATATTGATTATATATTATACTTTTTGTATTGTACTATTATAGTACATATAGTCACACGAGTAAATATGTACAAATATCAATATTGAAAGAAACATTATGTACATAATAGCAATGACCTAGTAGTATGTACGTCGAAAGTAGAAAGTTCCGCACTTTAAGTAGAAATATATATGTATGCACATACACAATACACACATACAGAAAACAACGCGAGTCAATTTATCCTGTTTCATCAGAAATGTAACAAAAGAATTCAACTTTTAAATGAAATAATGATCACTAGTTAAATAGTAAGTATATTTCTGTTTAAAAGTGAACAAAATCACTTAGTACATTAATCAACAATTATTTCATCACTCGTAATTTCAAACTCATTTTCTCTTTCCTTTAGAAAATTTTTCCTTTCCTATAGAGGGCAACACAGACGATGTTACAGTGGCATGCATTTTATTGTACATACATACTTTCATTACAGACGTTTGCCAGTTATTTCAACACAATTCAGCATACTTTTGTATCTTTCTGTGATTTATCATACCTCGTCTGAATGTAAAATTAATTTTTCAAGCACACTAGTATCCATAGGGATTCTATTAACACATTCGCGAAGTATTTTTGATGTAAGTATCACGACAACCTGTTACGCAAAGCAACAGTTGTGACACACGTGTACTTGACACACGTTTAATTGCTCGTGTTTGATGTTTCATTTGTAGTTATGATAAAAATATGTTCATAAATGTGTTTTTTTCCTGTTATGAACTTCTTCATAAATTATGCAACCAAAGCACTTAAGGATCTGTCAGATTTTACCTCTTTCAAAATGTTATCGGATGAAGATCAAGTAATAAATGTATATTCACAATTCGATTTAATCACCTTTTGTTTAGTTTTTCGACAAAAAGATATTCGTCGTGATCTGCTGGCAACGAAAAGCTTGTAAGTTGTCGAAGTTGAGATTTATCATTTATTCGACTTCGTCGAACACATTTAGTAACGTGAAACTAATGTTAAATATGTTAATTAAAAATGTTAATTTAGTAACGTAAAACTAATGTTAAAAATTCACAGGATCCATTTTTATTTAATTGTAATTTTTTCACATTTAAAAGTATTTATAATAAATGTTAATGACGCTATGATTTTATTTCATATTTTAATTCAAATTTTATTTATTAATTTAATTTACGAATTTTTAAGTTACATTCGATGTATCAGTTATCCATATACGGTAGATATATTACCATTTACACTAAATTTCACACACAAGTTATCCGTACACGGTAAGGAGTATAAAATTCAGTGATACCAATGAGGTGAGATTGCGATCACGTCTGAAATGCTCATGATGTGAGCGATAGGACTACACTTCCAACTGAGCGTTTGGAAATTATTGATCGTCCACGGTACTTTCATTTCCTACATTCTATCTTAAAATTTTATGGAATGGATGAACATGCGTTTAGATAAAATCTGAATCGATAAAGAAAGGAAGATAAACAAATAAACGTGTTCATAAAATATTAATTTGCTATTTAGAAATTCTATTAGTATCACAGTAAGTATCGAAGACAAATAACATTCGATAATTAATTAATCTACGCTAATTTTTGTATTTCCTATTTTATTTGTTTATCAAATAAATTGTTGTCGTGTTAACTTTATTATTTAATAGTAATGTAAACTCTTATGATAATAGATGTTTACTGTTTAAATTCTATTTTACATTAATCTACATATTTATTTAAATTATCTATGTACACGTTAGAAATGATCGACACAAAGGAATATGTAAATGTACAAATAAGTAAATACTGTTTTATCTAGAGAAACAGGAGATTTTTCCATTAGCTGTCGAACAATTAACATATCACGTCAGACAAAATTAAGGTAATTAAGTATTATCGAGATTAGTCTTTATTTGTTTCGTGATTATTCATATGCAAAAAAAAAGAAATAAATATATCAATCAAAAAAAGATATGAAATAAATTTATCCTGTTGTATACTAACCAAACGTTACTAAAACAAAAAATTTGTGTTTGTCAATTCCTAAATTTACTGAGAGTATTTTTGAATTTGGAAATTTTACAATTACGTATTCATGGTTCCTTTCGTGCAATTGAAAATAGTCGAATCTATTGGGAACACTTCGTTTTGCATTCCGTTATACGGTTAATCTCATATTACATCCGCCATGCTTTGCGATACGCGTTCAGCTTGATCACTCTTCAAATGTAACGGACAGGTAAGATACATAATTTTATAAATTTAACAGAAAGTAATTTAGATTATTTAAATAGTGTTTATTTTCGAATTCAAATGATTTTATCAAATAAGGAAATATTACGAATAGTTAGAGTTATTGAAAGGAGATCTAATGGATAATTACATCAGAATTACATTCACCAGAGTTCATTAGACGATGATTGCTGCAATTACCATTTTATTAAAGACTAATAACCTACACATTAGATAATTACAGATTTTCCGAATAATTAAAGAAAATAATATTCTTAACATTGCGAAGGAATAAGAACCTTTATGAATTATGAATTATGGTGAGTAATATTGTATATATCTCCAAGTTGAACAAGCTAACGAATGATTATGCATTGTGGTATGGCTGATAACTGATTCTTATTATGTTGTTCAATGAGAAATGCAAATATTTATCATGCTAAGGTCTAATCAAATATATAAATTTTAAAAATTTCAAGTTAGCATAAATTTAACATAGTCCTTAAGGAGTTATTTAAAAAACTTCAGAATGATTTGATTTTTTCTTTAAGTACAAAAAAAACAAATGCGGTTCGAAATTTTTTGACCGTTAGATTTAATGAGAATATTTATTCATGCGAAAATTTATACGCATCGACATTTTAATACCAGTAGAAAGTCTCAAGGAAATCCAGTTTATGAAAGGGAACAACACTATGAGAGATTTCATTAATAAAATGTAGTTCATGGTATTTGATCAAAGATAATCGATTTAAAACCGGATATACAATTATTAAGCAAATATTTTCCATGGAATTTAATTAAATAACTTAAAATTTATCTATTATTTATTATCATATCAGTATTGTTAATTAATTTGCATATTTTATAAACAGTGATTAATTTTTTAAATACTAATTTTAATATAACGTAACTATTAACTAATAACTTATACATTTTAACAATTTTCTGCAATATTTTTGTATCATTTAGCAACTATTATTTAAAAACTATTATGTTGCAATTATTATGTTGTATTGGATTTCTAAAAAAATTTTAAGGGTTTAAACTATAATCAATTTATAGGAGTCATTTTTTAGATATTATGAATAACAATTTGACCTAGTTTTATAAATAAAACTTAAAATGGTAATTTCATACAATAAATAATTTATTTCAACATTTTAAAATCAATATTCCTGATACAAATAAAATGTCTTTTAGTTAGAAATAATAATTATCTCGTAATGAAATAAAAACTTCATTATTATTCATCTTATTCTGTTTCTACATTTACTTACAATTATTGACTCCTTTGAAGAAATCCATAAACGTCACAAAAATTTCACTTAACACTTATTCAAAAATTTACATTGAAAAAATGAAAGATTATGTTACCATATAGTTATATTGCTACTATAAAATTACAAAATATATTTATAACATTATTCAAAAGTCAATGAGAAATCTTACAATATTTCACGTGAAATAGCCGTAAGCAACTGATAGAACTAAACGGAAACGTTAAGTGGGTAAGTAGAAATTGGACATATAAGAGACCGGGAATTGTTCTCTGCCAGGCACCAATCAGAGTAATGTGTTGCATTTGTAATAGTCCGAATATTATGCAATGTCGATACCGTGCAATAATTCCTAAATATTTTCTGACTTCCGATCGATTGTGTCACCGCTATTAACATTCATCACTTTGTATTATTTAAGAAAAATATTTTATATAATAATATTGTTATTCTTCAAAATAATCAATTATAATGATCTATTATAAAATATTTGTACATATTAATATAACATAAACTTCTGGAAATAATCATTTAAAATTTTTATTTTTAATATTAAATATGATAATATTTGAGTAAATAAATGAATACCATTGCATTTAAAATGTAATATATATTAATATTATTTAAAATACTACATTTTACAGCTAATTACAGTTAAATTATCTATTATTATTTTCTTTTGCTTTGCATATTTTTAAATTCATTTATATTCGAACTATATATTTATTTCGTTCGTTTTTTAATTCATAGTTTCAATAATACTTATATTAAAAGAGAAAAAAAGGCATTTTTATTTATTTTTTTAATATACAATTATTTTAATTGTTTGTAATATAGATGTAGAGTAACCTAAAAAATTAAGAAATTCGTGTACTTTTTTTATTATGCATATATAATTACAACTAATTCATTTAAACTATTAAAAGAATTGTTATTTATTTGAAAGTAATAAAAGAATGAATGTTTATATGCATGTATGCAGATAAATAATGAAAAGCTTGTTAGATGTGGTAATGCATGGCCAACTATACATATATGAAAATGTATGCCATCTAGCGTAAAAAAAAAGTATTTAAGATACATATTTTATAAAGCATAATACAAAAAATGTCAAATGCAAAGAATTATTATGTGGTTGTTTGGATGTAAGGAAAATATTTCATATTTCACTACCTTTGAAACGAAATATTTTTGAATAACATGTTTCATGTATGTTATTTATGTGTTATATGATACCAGAATTTGTAAGAATTCAAGTTGTTCTCGATTATTGCGCTATTTTCAAGAGCCTTGTTAATCAGCTGTGCAGCTGATGTCATGACACTATTGACATTCTTTTGAAGTCAAATAACAGCACTACATTTGTTATTTGCAAAAACAATGAAACTTTCGCTCAGTAAGCAATGACCAATGCTGATTTGCCAAGCTAAAGGTGGTGTAGTGTATATGCGAAATATTAATCTTTGATAAATACTTAACCTTACTTTAATTATTTTTTCTTTTTTCTAGAAAAAAATTGTATTCTGTTTTCTGTATAAACATATATTGACAAAATATTTCATCCTTATGATACATTGAAGAATTTTAAGTCACTTAGATAGTATATACAAATATTGTGAAAATGGATAACCTTTTCACACAAAATATTTCAGATGAATTAGAGGATATACCACAAACAGATGAGCCAGTTTGGATTCTTGGAAAAAAATACAATGCCATAAAAGGTGTAATAGAAAGTTACATTAAAGAGATCTTTGATAAGTTAAATATGTAAGATCTTAAATTTCAGAACTCAACACAATTCGTAGGGACATAAGATCCAAGTTATGGTTTACTTATCGAAAAAATTTTGTTCCCATTGGTGGTTACAATTCTACATTTACAACTGACAAAGGTTGGGGTTGTATGCTACGATGTGGTCAAATGGTCCTTGGTCAAGCTTTAATTATGTTACATTTAGGTAAATTGTAAAATTATAAACATTTAATTTTTACATATTAAAATATTAAATAATTTAAAAATATAGGTAGAGACTGGCAATGGACACCAGAAACTAGAAATAGTGCGTACCTGAAAATTTTGGAACGCTTTGAAGATAGAAGAACTGCTGCCTTTTCTATTCACCAAATTGCATTAATGGGAGCATCAGAAGGGAAAGAAGTTGGACAGTGGTTTGGTCCCAATACAATAGCACAAGTATTAAAGTACATATCTATCACAATTTTAAATATTTTTATGTCTAAAATTTGATATTATAACAAATTGTATTTTTTAGAAAATTAATTGTATTTGATGATTGGAGCTCAATTACTATACATGTTGCTCTGGACAATACATTAGTAGTTAATGATATTTGTAAGTGATAAAATGTTTTATTTTAATGCGTACTTTATATTATTAAAATTTTTTTTTAAGTACTTAATATTAAAGTACACAATTAAATATTTACAGTAAAGCAATGTAGAGTAGAAGGAGGTACAACAGCAGAAGCCGATGGTGAGGTACCATTGAAAACACCTAGCCAATGGAAACCTTTATTACTTTTAATACCTCTTCGCCTTGGATTAAACGAGATTAATCCTATCTACATTAACGGTCTTAAAGTAATAAAGAAATAAATGTTCTTGCATGAATGGCTAAAATTGGAGTGAAATATGAATGAAGTGAAGGATAATCATATTCATAACTATAATGTTTCAGACTTCATTCAAAATCCCACAATCTCTAGGAGTAATAGGAGGAAAACCCAATCTTGCATTATATTTCATAGGATGTGTTGGTATGTGTATAATTAAAAACAGAATTATTAAGTTAGAGTGAAAATATTAAATGCTCATAAAACCATAACTGAAAATGTGTATAAATCATAATCTTATTGGTAGGAAATGAAGTCATTTATTTGGATCCTCATACAACTCAAAGATCAGGTAGTGTTGCTAAGAAACTAGAGGAGGAAAATATTGAAATGGATGCTACATATCATTGTAAATCTTCTAGTCGTATTCCTATTACAGGAATGGATCCCTCTGTAGCACTTGTTAGTAAATAATTAATTTTATTATTTAAAAATGAATCATGAGATTAAGCATTAAATAATATAACTTATATTTTTATGAAGTTAAACAATTTTTCATTTCAGTGCTTCTTTTGTGCAACTGAAAAAGACTTTAAATCTTTATGCAAGTCTATTCAAGATGAATTAATAATACCAGAAAAGCAACCTCTGCTTGAACTATGTGCAGAAAGATTAGCACAATGGTCACCAGCTGAAGATGTTGCTTCAGAAGCAATAGCAGCTTCAAGTTGTAAGTATTTAAAATCTATATGTCATTAACAGAAAAAGAAAAATTTTACTGAAAATATCATTTGAGATTATGATAAATTAAACCTTATTCGTAAATTTTATTAAATTTAATTTATTATAGTTCATTTTAGTACTTTCTTTATAGTTGTAGATTTTGAACACATAGATCCACAATGTGATACATCTGATGAAGACTTTGAATTACTTGGTTGACATTTGATTAACAAATAACAAAATCTATGATATAAATAATGTATATTAAACATCAAAGATGATCCATTCATGCATAAAATACAACTATCCATTCAGTAACCATATTCGACATAAGCTAGTACTATTTCAGTACTAAAAGTTGAATAATAAAATAATTTACATAAAATGATTAAAATATTGTACATATTACTTAAATTAAAATTTTTGGACATGAATGATCTATACTTATTGTTAACACAATATATAACATTTGATATAAAAATCTTTTCTGTAAGTAAAAGTGTAAACTTTATTATAAATTACATAAAAATATTTGGTTTCATATACAACTCAACATGTACTTATTTTTTATACCATATAAATTATCCAATATTAAGTATAAAATGATTAAATTATTTTATTAATTACATACTTAAAGGTGGTGTAAGCATGAAAATATGTATTTGAAATCAACTAATTTCATTTAAATGCAGTGAAATAAAATATGTAATATTCAGTTATTTTTCAATAAATTTTATAGTATATATTAATTTTACGTGTTTAAAGTTTTTGTCACTACTAAATTATTTATATTTATGTATATATATAATAAATAATACGTAAAGTGGTAAATAAATTATATAAAAAATTACTCATTATTGGAATTTAATAAAAAGATTATAAATTAAGAGCACTCATGTCCTAAGATATATTTGTCTTCTTTAATAGATACTGCATGTGATTATCTTAATGTACAGTAAATATATACACATGTCATAAGTCTCAAAAAATTAAGAGTTGGATTAAATTCTTAAATTTAAAAAATTAAATAAAATTTTATACTTTATTTATTTTAGACATATACTGTTAATTTATAATGAAAATTTAAATTTAAGAATATAAAATATCAATGTTTTTAATTAACATAAATATAAACAAAGAAATAAAGTGATTTTTATATTAATTCAAATTATATACCCTTTACATTAATATATTGTAAATTTTATAGAATCAATTCTGTTAATAATATAAATATTCACAATTTTAAACTTATGTAAGGTGTATAGAAACAATAGATAAAATTTTATTAAAAATATTTAATGGTATTTTATAATTCGAAGTTCTATGCAATTAAAAATTTTATAAAATACTAATAAATATTACTATTTCTATATATGTTTAAACTGGCCATTTTAATGATATGTTATTATACATGACTAATAGTTTATTTTCATTCAAATTATGAAATTTATTATAATCTAATATAAATATATTTACATTTTTTATAAAATTTATTAAAAACGCTAAAGAATGTGTAGTTTGTTTCCTAAATACTTGTTACACCAAAAATATAAAACTGATTATCATGTGATACCTAAATATGTATATCTAAATAAATTTCAAACATGGAATTAATTTTTAATAAATGAATATTTTATAATATAATCTATATTTAAGATCAATTTTGGCCACACTTTATAAACAACAAAATGTATTTATTAGAATAACATAAAATTTTCTGTATTTCAAATTTTATATAATAAAATAAAATATACATTTTAAAGGCGTTTTTATTATAAACCTTTAGTATGTATAAAGAAGATTATAAAAAAAAGTAATATAAAATATATGCACATTATAATCCAAACAAATTTTACAAATTCTTTAATATTTTTTTTTTAGAAATATATGTAGGATGCCATGAACAGTTTTTATTTTGTCTTCAGCTTCCAGAAGTAACGTGTATGTATTCCTTCTTTTTATCGAAAAAATATCGGATCTGCGCGAACAGTTTAAGTCATCAAAAATTAACAGAACGAAATGAGCAGGATGAAACAAGTACCAAACGCAAAAACTGATTAAACACAAAAGAAATAATATTGGAATAACGTAACTTTAATACGGGGAAAACGCGCTTCTATTCGTCTCTCTCCGATACCGAACGACTCACGTCCGTGCTGGTCATAATCCATATTCGCGAGGATTCTTCAAGACTTCTCAACTCAGAACTCTCCCTATATTGCCACAGGCCTTATTTTTACGTCCTATACCGAACTTGATGACGTACTTTTATCAATGACTAACTGGTTGATATGGTTTAGTCGATTCACGATTTTCCCTTTGTGAGGATACGATTCCGCTAATCTACGTTTCGCCCCCCGCAAAGCTGCGCAACTCATAAGGGGACCCTATGGTAAAAATCGCTTTCGGAACGATAGTAGGTACAAGTTATAGTACATACAAGATATTTCTAACTTTGAACTGAAAAAATATTTTGTCAACTAGCTTGTTTCTAAAAATAACCTTCCGTATCGGTATCAGTCGATTTTCAATTTATTTTTCTAAAAATAGCATCTCACATATGGAAGTATTTTTATTATAATTTGTATTCCATTTAATCCAGTAACAAAGTTTTATAGCGTAATAATAATATAAAAAAGAAAAAAATATATTGTAAGTGTTACTAAGTTTTTGATAAATATTTTTTGCTTACATGTCAAAATATTATTCAAGAATCATAATAATATTTAATGTATCATTTTTATTATCTATTGTTTTTAATGTACAGAATTTTTTATATTTAAACGATCGTTAGTCATTTAAATGTTACACGTTATATTTAATATTAATTATTTAATATAACATATTCAAACATGATTTTCCAAATTACTCATTTGTGAAAGGCATTCATTTAAATTTATATAAAAATAAATATTACATATGCATATTTGTACATCAAAGTAGTATTAATTAAAAATTTAATTGTAATATATAATTTTGTATATACTACATATATATTTAGGTCATTATTACAAGATTTCATAAGATGCTTAGGTATACATGAATTATATACTCATATATTGCTAGTGGAATAGAAAATTGATACTTCAGAAGATACACGATATTTAATAGCAGAATATAAGAAAATATTATGTTTTCAGAGGTACAAGGGATAAAACATTATCATATTTGTTTAAATTTTATAAATAGAAAAAATACATTGTAAATGATGTAATATAAATAAAAATTATTGCAAGGGATAGTATTGTACTAAAACTAAACTTGATTCTATAAAAAAAAGAGAGAATACTTGATTAAAGAGTGAAACATCATATTTTTATATTATACAAACAAGAGTACATTCATTTTTTTCCAAATTTACACTTACTAGTCGTTAATATATAATTAATGACTAGAATATCTTTGGAAAAAGTATAAATTCGTTGTACAATTAAAACATTATTGATTCTTTTTGGCCTCTGATATGATGTATTTACGATCCTTTAAATTAATTACAACTACAGTGATATTGTCAGCAGAACCCCTATGTGTTAAAAAGACAAGCTATAATGTAAAACTGATTTAAATTGTAATTTAAACAAATTGTAATATAGATTTATATTACCTATAATAACTTTGTAAAGTAATACTTTTTGCACCAAAATGTGGTTCATTTATACGTTCCTTAATGAATGCAACAGCTTCTTCGTTTGTAAAAGTATCCCATAAACCATCTGATGCCAAGACAATAAACATTGGATTATGATCACTAAGATCAAAAGTTAAAATATCAGGATCAGCAATCACTAATTTTTTATCTTTTAATGGGTAATCTCCCAAAGCTCGAGAAGTTGCTAATATACCAGCAACTCTCCACACACCATTGAATGTTACTAAACCACCAGCTTTATTTATTCTTCTTCTTTCTCTTTCCTAAAAATACAAATCCATTTTATCATCAAATAAAGTAGATTTATTATGGAGGCTTAAATCATTTATACTTGTTGTGGTTTATGATCAAAAGATAAAGGTATAGCATTCCCTTTTCCATCACACATTACACCTCTTGAATCTCCAACATTTGCTACAATTAATTTATTGTCTTCCAAAAGAGCAATTAATGCAGTTGTACCTATATTATAAATTATAAAAAATCATTTTTAAATTTAAATAAATAAAATAATAACAATTGTAAGAAAATAATTACCAGCTATATCCATATTCTTCTTAGCAGCTTCTACTAACAATCTGTCCACTGCCAGTACTTCATCAGTTAGTAGTCTACCATAATTTATTTTATTTCCATCAAGATAATTTGTAATATCTACTTTTAATGGTTTTTCTGTTGTTCTACATGGTCTTACCTTATAGTTAAAATAAAAAACTGCATTTCTTTATATTTGTAAAAGATAACATTTAATATTAGTCATACCTCTCTTGTTATTGGTCTTGGCAAGCTATCTAATTTGTCAAGTAGTTCTGGATCAGTTACACCAACATTTTTCTTTACACAATCATCTGTCAGTGATGTGCTTACAGTTTTACGGAAAGATTTTTTGCGTTCAAGAAGTCCTACATCACTTTTCTCCTCTTTCTTCTCTGATTCTTCATCTTTCTTTATGTCTTCTGATACATGTGGTGCTTTACCAGCTAACATATCCTTTAATTCAACCACTTTTTTATTTATATTTGGAATAAGTTTATCACGTGCATAATTTGCTGCAAACTATTAAGAAACAAAATATATATCAATATTTTATACTTATAAATAATAAATGTTTAGAATATTTATATGTTATTAGTATACTATTAGTAAAATACTTTATAATACTATTATATATAGAAATGATAATAGTAACATAACATATTATGTATTTCTTAATAATTTATTTCATTATAATTAAGAATAATATTATATTAAACTACAATTACACTAATTTTTAGGATGTGAACTAATTATTTACTTAAACTATTATGTACACATTATTATATCATTTACTAAATATTAATATATTAAAAAAATAATTTTTTAATAACATATTATTGCATGCACTATTGTAATATAACATAAATTTTTCTATCTGGGCTAAACAATCATATAAAATAATAAAAAATTAATATTTCATTTTAATCTATAATAACATTTTTATTCTAAGTAACTGATATATATTAATTTATAAAATATATGAGTATATAAATGTATTACAATATTGTTAAAATCTATTTTTATATTTCTCATAGTCTCATAATTTGTTTTCATTTAACTATTTTCTGATAATCTTATTTCTGTATAACTTTACCATTATAAGAAATTTTTACCTTATTCCTGTGTCTTTAATCTGTAATTTTGGAAGATAATCATCATATAACATCATAAATTTTGTAATTTAAGAATTATAATGTTATATGAAAATTAATATTAACAAGTAAACCTTTGAAAATATCCTATTTATGAATAATTTATTAATTTTCTAAGACATTTAAATAAATTTATTTATTAGACATTTTTAAACTTACTTCTCCACCATGCCCATCAAATATTGCGAATAAAGATACTCCAGTATTATTCATATCTTCATTTACAACAAAACGATCCTCCATACGAGGTCTAAGTCCTTGAACAGCATATGCAGCAATATATCCCTGTTTTAATTCCCAGCTGAGTTTTATGCCATTATTTACAGAATCATTAACCAAGAATTGTAGTTTTGATACCTAACAAAAATAAGACATGGTAGAAATTTTTACTTATTTTTTGTAATATTTAAAATAATCTAATAATTAAATAATTATATAATATCAAATTAATATTTAACTATGTACATAATGCAATATTTCCTTATTTATATAATATATTATCATGTGGCTTATTCTTTAATTTATGTACTTTTGATGTGGTACGGCCAAGTGTATATTGGATTCTTCCTAACAGTGATCTGCTCCATATATCAACAGCTTGTATATAAAATAGAATTATTGCCAAAACTGCACCACAAATTAACACTTCTGGCTTCAATGCATAAACTCTCATGATTCTCCAAAAGTAACCCAATGGAGTATTTATCCCAGCATTTAATCCTGTGGGAATACCCACTGCAAACTTGGACATAAGCTTCATATATGATACATACGTCTATAGTACAATTACAAAAATGGAAGATTAATAACAGTGATTAGTTTTATAAAAAAAACAAAATATTTTAAGTGGTCAAAAATATCGTAATTTATATAGAATACTATCTATCATTGATTAATAAAAGAATAAATTTATGTTATTTTTTATTTGAAATACTTATATGTTATAAAAATTTGAGAGTAATCAATCAAGACTATTTTTGAATACGAATCACGCGATACGGAAATCGTAAATCGAACATATAACAAATATTCCTGTCTTAAAGAACATTTTTCTAAAAAAAAGAAGCAACATTATATTAAATTATTTTTATATCACCTGATATAAAATCTTGTCTTCTAGTTCGTCATCCATAATCTAATGTAAGAAACACCTTGAATTAAGCCAGCTTTCTCGTAAATCTAAATATCGATAAGTAGTGAATAATTATTTATAAAAACACAAATGTGATGGAGTACCAAATTGGCATAAAATTATATTAGAAAATCATCAAAAATTCGTATGATTGTTCGTTCGAAAAAGATTGTTTAAAAGTTCAAGAAGAACGAAAATTAATTTATACACTATTTGGCATCAGCAGCAGACGATACCAAATTACAAACGTTACTGTAGGTAGACAGTTTGAGATCACGCCGTAATTTTAAGCACGAAGTATTATTGGCATTTTACATTATCCACAATTAAGGAATTATTTTATACATAAAATTGAAGTATTTTTAACAACTATATAAATCATTAAAAATTTCTTTTACTTAATTTAGTATTTGTTTATATAATAACTTAACATATTAAAAGAGAGAAGAAAATTTATTGAAATATAAATTTAAATTAAAAAAATGTTTTAATAAAGTACAGTTTTAAATAAAGTATTTCATAATTACACAGAACAATAAAAACAATTTTTCTATATTTCATTACAACTTTTGAAATAATCTTATAAATTAAAAGATATAGAAAAAAACAAAAAACAAAAGTTTCAAAGCTATAATTATAATATAAAACAATGTATATTATTAAGAATTTACAAATAAAATCATTATAAACTTAATAAGCGAAATTTATAATACACATTAAATATATAAAAAGTTTAGAAAATGTTCAGTCATTTAATTCTATTTGAAGAATAAATAATTATCAAATTTCGATTATATTGTACATATCTGAGTGCAACATTCGGTAGATCTGTAGCATTTTATATATTGCAGTATGATTAAATAGTATTTTGTATGTAAGCACATACCTATACCGGATATAATTGCAACGATGTATTACGCTATAAACTGCATAGGGAGAGCTGTCATGCGTTGCTACGACGTGAGCTTAGAAGCCGCGTAAATATGGCCGCGGCAATTGCGAGTGGTTAATATTGTCCAGTGTAATGAATACGCGTAATGATCGTGATTGCTCTTGTTGGTGTACGGTGATGAGATCAATGTGTCATCAGCAAAGATGAGCGAAAGAAAGTTTACCCGCGGCCTAGGTAAACCGGGCATGGCCGCTCAATTACGAGAAACCGTCTCTCAGGTAGTACGTGAGAGCACCGTACAGGTAGGTTTGCTGCGTCCTCGACTTGATACATTTGCCGCTTTATTTTATGCAGAAATTTTTGCATTATCTTTCGAATAGCGTGTATGCAATAATTGATACCAATGAAAATATGTACTCCATGTATTCATTTATCAAACCTTTCATAATATCGTTAATTCATTATTCATGATAATTACTGTCAACTAAACGCGAGGCTAACTATAAATATTACAAGTTGAAGAAGAGATAAAATAACATTGAATCAACTTTTTACTTATATTTTTTAAACGTCATTCGTTACTTTATTTTTCTATATAACAGGCTTGGGACATGAAATCTGGTTTTTTAAAGATAATGTTATTCACATTGAAACATGTCCATTTATGGTATCTTGCAATACCTTGACTCATTGTTCGTTAATTATTTCTCTGAATTAAGAATAAATTATGCTATTTTTAAACAAAATTATTTAATCCATTTATTATCATAATAAGTATTGATAAAGTAATATTTAGTTTGTAAAAGTTTTAATGTATGTAGATTATGTCATTTATTCAATTTGTGGTAGTTTTATTTTTTATTTTTTATATGATTTTCATTATAGAATGATGATAAATTAAACCAATAAATGTATATATATACTATCCTTTTTATTTGTTATTGTCTATTTTATAATAGTGTTTTAATTTCAGAATAAGCCACATCTTGTAGAACCTATAGATTTCGAAAGTTTTGTATTAAAGAATAAAACTTTATTACAAAATGATCCTCAAAGAGAGCTTCTATTATATCCTCAGGATGATGTATCAGTGAGTTTTAATTTAGAACTTCTTATCTATTTGGAAAACTTGCATCCGTTCCATGAACAGATAAATTTATTAGATTAGATATGCTTATACACAGGATGTTAATAATATTATACCACTTTTGAATATTCATTATTATAAAATTATCTAATATATAATTTATAAGAATATTATTAATATATATCTTTTATTTTATTACTAAGAGAATTACAAAAATAAGTTATATGGTTTTAATATATCTTTTCTTAATGCAGCAAGTGGTATTACCTAGAAGATATCGTACTCTTGTACCAACAGTGCCACAAGCTTCAGATAATGAAGAAGGAGGAGAAAATCTACTTACAAAAGAATGTTTACGAAGTTACACATCTAATTGGAATCTCATACACTATAAATATTCAGCATATAGTGGAACTTATCTTGAGTTACCCAAGTATGTTTTTATATTTGTATCTATAGTTACAGTTATACATATAATGTATGTTAATATACTTAGGATGATAAGAATAGTTTTCTATATCCTAATTATCATTATTTAAAGAATGCAGTAAATAATACTTTAAATTATTAATAAAGTTATGTCTTTATACTTTGATATTAATATCTACAAAATTTTACTTAATAAAATGTACAGTATACGATAAAATGTATTATATTAATTTATGTTTTTTTATCTTTTAGAATAGCAAAAACAGATGATCTGAAAGATGAAGTATATGAAATTGATACAGAAGTAGACCAAGTTGATGAGGTAAAATACTTTGTATTTACATAAAGTTATTTTTTTATTCTATCATTTATCAGCATATATCTTTAGATAAAGGAGATTTAAATATTATATTTCATGTATGAATTTTTTATAAAAAAATAATTTTTTATATTCTTTTTATATAATTAATTTGCAAAAATACTTTTGTTAAAAAGTAATTCAATTTTTGACTAAATTGTTTCTTTTGTAATTTTTGTCATACTGAATCCATCTATTATTATTTTTGTTTAACACTATAAAGTGTTAAATAAATTTATAAAGAAAAATAAGTAAATAAAATAATTTAATTTTATAAGGAATTAACAAAGAGTAATGGAATAACAAAAGAAGGCTATTTAATGAAAGGACCAGAAATTGGTAGTAGTGATCGCATGTTTGCAAATATTGGTTCAAAATCATTCAAGAGAAGATTCTGTCATCTTCGACAAGAAGTCGATGGCACATACATTCTTGAACTTTTTAAAGATGAAAAAAAGGGTGAAGCTAAATTAACAATAGTTATGGATTTTTGCACTGAAGTTGTGAGGAATCCAAAACGCGGAAGATATTGTTTTGAATTAAGAATGAGCGGGACTCATAAATCATATACCTTAGCAGCAGAAAATGAAACAGATATGCAGGATTGGTTATTAAAGTTAAGCTCAGTATTACAGCATTATAAACAACAAGAAGAAAAACGTGCTGCTTCACTAGAAAGAGCATGCAATACTCCTCCTCCTTCTCCTCAACCTATGCAGGTATTAAAAATACAGATAAATGTTATTTCTATTTACAATATATTAAATGAATTATTTGATGTATAATTCAACTTGAATTTATTATTATTATTATTATTATTACTATTATTATTATTATTTGTAGGTTTATGGAACACTTAAAGGTTTGGAACAAAGTATGAATCCACAATTGATAAAATATTCTAGAGAAACAGATACTAGCATAGCATTAGCAAGACGAGAAAGTCGTAAACAATTGTTTAATATTTATCCTTATATTCCGCATACTAAACAACAACCAGGCAACTGTATTGAACAGAATATTGATCCATATAAAGAACAATTTGGGCAAAGAATTTTTGTAAAATGTGAAAGTCTTAAATTTAGATTACAAGCACCAATAGATGAAAAGGAATCGTTGTGTCAGGTGGAACCATATCAAACTACCCTAAGTCTTTATGATGCAAGAAATGGTAGAAAATTAACTGAAAATTTTCATTTTGACATTAATAATGAGGTTGTTCAAGGACTGGTAAAAGAATTAGGTCCTGTAGGTATCATGACAGAATCTACAGAAAATGGTAAATTACCAGATGACTTAAAAAATATACCTTTAGATTGGATTAAATATCCAAAACAGGTTTGTATTTCTTGCTCTTCTTTCTTTGGAATATTGAATTTTTAACGATAATATTAATATTATTCTGTAGTTTAATATTAATACTAATACATATTTTTATAGGCCATATTTAGTATTAATAATCCACATCCTGATATATTTTTGGTTGTAAGAATAGATAAAATATTACAAGGGAATATATGCCAAACTTCTGAACCATATTTAAGGGCTACAAAAGATCCACGATTAGGTTTAAAAGTACATAAACAAGTTAGAGCTTGTTGCCAAAGGTAAGTTTACTTATGATTTCATTTTGGAACTGTATGATTCTCTATATATTGTAATATTTCGTTCAAAGAATTCTAAACTTTTTAGATTGGGAAATTATAGAATGCCATTTGCTTGGGCTGCTAGACCATTATTTAGATTATATAGTAATGAATTAGATACATCGTCAGACTTTCCTGCCATATATAGGCAAGAAGGGAATAAAATAAAAGATGAAGAATTACTCAAACTTCTTTCAGAGTATAGAAAGTATGTATTAGAAAAATATAATAAGTTATATATAAATATATTTTAATATTTTTTTATTATAGACCTGAAAAACTTAGTAAATTGACTGTGATACCTGGTTGGTTGAAGATAAAAATTGAGTCAATTACAGATTTACCTGACAGTATGTATTTAGAGAATAGAACCTTTTTCTAATAAATTTGAATAATAAATTCGAATTTTTTTCATTGTAGATACATTATCTACGTCTTTAGCAGCTTTAAAGCCATTTCCATTACCGCCGATATCTGAACCAACTCTTGAAATTGCAGAATTCGAAAGTACTTCAGAGAAAGATGTTCATCCATATACAACTTATATTAATCATCTTTATATATATCCACAGACTCTTTGTTTCGATACTCAAAAAATATTCACCAGAGCCAGAAATATTGCGTGTATTGTTGAATTACGAGATGACGATAGTGAAAGTGCCACACCCTTAAGAGTATGTAAAATACAAATTGCTTTATAGATTATTAAATTGCAACTAATACTTTGAATCTTTTTATAATAGTGTATATATGGAAGACCTGGTGCTCCACCTTTATGTTTACGAGCATCTTGCGCAGTTTTACATCATAATGCAGTTCCTTCTTGGTACGAAGAAATTAAAATACGGCTACCATCGAAACTTCATGTTAAACACCATTTACTTTTTTCTTTCTATCACATAAGTTGTGATATGAATAAGAAAAAAGAAAATGGCGTTGAAAATTGTGTTGGTTATGCTTGGTCTCCCTTGTTGCATAAAGGAAGGTATGGTAATTTTAAAAATTGTGATATATATCATTAATAAATTGATTACTGGTTTAACTGAAATTTTATAACATCTAGATATAAGATCATATTTATACAGTAAATTTTCTTATCAAATTATGTATAGTAATGTTTTATATTTTACATAGATTAAACGTGGATATGGATATGAATGTACAAACACTGCCTGTAGCAACACATTTACCACCAGGATATCTTTCAATACAACCTCTTGGGCTAGGAAAAGGGGTAAAAATAAAACGAAATTATAAATCTGTACTTTAGCGATACATAAAATATGATAAAGTACGGCAATTATTTTTAATTATAGTTTTTAATATTTTGAAAATAAATTTTTTATTTTAGAATGCAGGTCCGGAAATTATATGGGTTGATTCTCAACGGCCAGTATTTACAGTAGCGTTTCAATTGATTTCAACTGTATTTACACGTGATCTACATTTACATAATTTATTTGCTCATATGGAACGTATCTTAGATACAAAACTCGGAGCAGTACCAGCAGACTCGGAAACATGCAAAATATTAAAAGCTGCTCATGCAGTGCAATTAGTTACTGTCATTACATTTCTTCCCACTATATTGAATCAGTTATTTACATTGCTAACTTGTACTACGAATGAAGAAGTTGGATTGTATATTATAAGGGTTTTAATACATTTTATAAATATGGTACATGAAGCTGGTAGAAAAGAAACACTCCAAGCTTATATTAAGGTATATATTATTAATAAAAACAATTAAATTTATTAGTCAATATTACATTTCTATATGTTGTAGTTTGTTTTTGTACCACCTTCTCAAGGAAACGGTTTTATAACAGTTCATGAACAACTGGGAAAACATCTTCCTACATTATTAAAGCCAAGTAATACTGACTTTTTAGTAGTAAATAAATTTATGCATCACTCTAGTTTTTTTTTTGAAATAATGATTAAAAGTATGGCACAGCATTTGCTTTCAACAGGAAGGATAAAAGTACGTTTCCTAATAATATGTAAAATATAATTTGAGAAGAAATTTGATTCGATTAAGTTTTTTTTTACAGATGCATAGAAATGAAAGATTCTCAAAAGAATACCATGAAAAAGTTCGAAGTTTAGTGGATGTTATTATGCCTTACCTTATGAATAAGTATAAAGAAATGCCTGTTGAAACTCATGAATTAAACAAAAGTCTTGCACAATTTTTAAAGGTAAGTACATACAATATATTATTTATATATTATGTATTTTTTTTTCTACATACAGATAAAAAGGATGAATTTAAGCTGGTTAATTTAAGTTTAAAAATTTTGTATTATAATTGAAATATTTATTATTTAATATTCATTCTTAATTTTTCATGTTTTAAAATAGCGATGTCTTACATTTATGGATCGTGGATTTGTTTTCTGTTTAATCAATTCATATATGGACAATTTTTCTCCTGGAGATCAACGAACATTACATGATTTCAAATTTACATTCTTACAAATAATCTGTTCACATGAACATTATGTATCTTTCAACTTACCAATGATGCACTCACGAATTACATCCAGAGGTAAACTTAACTAGTATTATACTATACTTAATATTAAAGATTACTTAATATAATCGTTTTATGCTTTATTTAGAAGATACAGAGAGTGATCCAGAATGTGATGGTATGTTAAGTCATACACTCCCGTCTTTATTGTGGTTTGTTACTGTAGCCATAGTGAGTGGGAGTTGCACACAATTTTCTTGTTATTAATCACTATCAGTCAGTAGATGTTTAGAAAATACATTCATGGCATTCTTATTTATTGCTATGCAAGCCTGTTTCATTATATCATCAAAATGCACTGAAGATTGTTAAGTGGAATTGAACACTAAATAGTTCTGCAATATAGAATATACATATAATAGATTCACACACATAAATTTTATGTTACACGTCGTATTTTTTATGTAAAATAATATAATTTTATCTTAATATTCACTACTTGAAAATATTTTAATGCAAAAAACCTGCATGAATTTGCAAACATTTCACAAAGTTACAACTATAGTTAACAAAATATTAATATTATTAAATGATTCAGAGAGAAGATGATTTTTTTATTTAAATATTAAATGCCTATAAAATAGTCAATAATTTTAAGCAACCTAATAAATAAATTTCGTTTAAGCTATTTTAATTTCGTTCAATTTTCAATATTTTTAGGTGGTCCTTGTATGTGCATATTTTTCTATTTTCATATCGTTTAAGATTACAATGAATCAAGTAAATTTATTAATTTGAAGTATTTATTTCAGATTTAATGAATGAATATTGTTTATCAGAAGATTTTTGCAAACATCATTTCTTAGTTGGACTCTTAATGCAAGAAGTTAGAACATCTTTAAATGAAATTATACAAATTCGAAAAGTAGCAATAGCTACATTAAGAGATTTAATGGCAAAGCATGAACTTGATGAGAGGTACCAGAACAAGGTAAACTATTTTTATTTATATAAAATATATTTTAATAATTAATATCTTAATAAATAAATCTTTATATGTAAATATTTAATTAATTTTATTATTACAGGGTCAATTAAGTAGGATAGCATCTATTTATATACCATGGCTAGGTATTGTATTAGAAAATTTGCATCGGTTGCAATCGATCCACGATAATAGTAAAACAGAAATTAAACAAAATGGAATCAATAGAATTTCTACTAGTAGTTCATTCTTGGCAAATAAAGATACTGCAAGTAATACTACAACTACTGGAACTCCAAAATCAATTCATAGGTAAATTTAAAATAAATTTTAGAGCATTATGTTTGTTTAAAGAATATTTAAGTATGAAAGATGAAAAAAAAAAAAATAAATTATATACACAAATATATATAGGCTTACATTACATTTGGAGACTCAATCACCAATAAGAGCATCTATGCACTTACGGGATTCTACATATCTCGCAGCCATAGCAGGACAAGGCTTAGTTAATGGATATTCTTGTACTAGTATAGAATCAGATACGTCCACAATATCGGGCGCTTCTCAATCGAATATATCTCAAGAAACGACCATTATTCGTGAACCTATTGAAAACGGTACTGGAGAGAAAAAAAGACATTCTCGTTCTTTAAGTGTTACACAATCGTCACCAAGATGCGATAAATTGCAGTCGTCGGAAGTTAAAGATATCTTACTTTGCTTCTTATTTGTGATAAAATATTTGGGTGATCATCAAGTTATTGCTTGGTGGCAACAATGTAGCGATTGTGAAATTTTAAGTTTCTTTACAGTAATAGAGTAAGTAAACATCAAATTAGATATAGTAATTAATTTTAATGTAGGATAGGTATATTATTACGTTTATTTTTATTTTAGAATGAGTCTTTATCATTTCAAATATGTTGGAAAAAGACAAATAGCTACAAATATGGCAAATAATTCTGGAAAGCCTCGAACAGTGAAAGCAATGACATTACCAGCCAGAATGGCACCTCCTGATTTTTCTAACGAAGGACCCGCTACTAGTACTTTACAACCGCATAATACTACTGCAAGGGAGAATCTTGTTGAAAGTGATAGTGGAAAGATGCATCAAGCTTTATTAGAAGCGAATATGGCGACAGAAGTTGGTCTCATTGCATTGGATTGTTTAGGACTATTTTGTATTCATTTTAAGGTATAAGATAATTGCAGAAATTTTATATTTATAATCGAAAAATATATTTATTTACGTTATGTTTCTTTTTTTTGTAGGATGTACTTTTAGCAACCGATGGTGATAACCCCATAATGCAGAAAGTATTTAGTATATATTTATCGTTTTTGCAAGTTGGGCAGTCTGAAACATTATTGCGTCATGTATTTGCTAGTTTTAGAGCTTTTTTAAATAATTATTCTATAATTCTATTTCAAGGTATAAATTTTAATACTTACATATGATTTCTTTAAATTGGGATAAAAAAAAGTTACATTTCAATTGATTGAATATTATTGCTTTTACAGGAAATGCAATTCTGTGTGGACGCTTATGTTATGAATTATTACGTTGTTGCAATAGTAAGTTAAGCTCTATTAGGCAGGAATCCTGTGCTTTACTTTATCTTCTTATGAGAAGTAATTTTGAGTTTACTAGTAGGAAAGGATTGACTAGGGTCCACTTGCAAGTAAGTATCTTCAAAAAGTAGTTTTTCTCGCTTATAATAGATTCATCCTAATGATATTTTAAATATTAATATTATATATTTATAAACAGGTAATAATATCCGTTTCTCAAATGCTTGGAAATGTTATTGGATTGAATAATTCAAGATTTCAAGAATCGCTATCATTAATAAATAGCTATGCTTCATCTGATAAAGTAATGAAAGGCACTGGTTTTCCAGTGGAAGTTAAAGATCTTAATAAAAGAATTAGAACAGTTTTAATGGCTACAGCTCAAATGAGAGAACATAACAACGATCCTGAAATGTTGGTAGATTTACAACATAGTTTGGCTAATTCTTATGCTAGTACACCAGAATTAAGACACACATGGTTAGAAACAATGGCTAGAAATCATGCAAGGGATGGTAATTTTTCAGAGGTATATATCCTAAAATTATTTTTTAAATATGATTATTAAATATAATATGCTTTTATTCTAATATTTTTTCCTTTCTATTTTTTTTTTTTTTTTTTTTTTAAATTATACATGGGGAGCAGAAGCCTTTGACAAAATTTCTGAAAACATTTCTAGAGATGAATGTAGTCTTAAACTTGATGCTGGTGAGATTTGTATGTTTTGCACATGTTTGTATTATGTCTTAAGCTTTTATTATTTGTAATTTTCTATTTTTCTGTATCTATTTATTATTGCATGATAAAAAATGTGTGATTATCAATTAAAATTAAAATCAATTTCTAACGTTTTTTTTATTTAATATATAGTAAAATATATTATAGTAACGTATTATAAAAATATTTTTGTTTTGTTTTGGATTGGTTCAAATTACTACAATTTTTAATATTAATTTATGTTCCATTAGTTCTTATTTGATATAAAATTATAAAATTTTATAAACAATGGCATTATTTTAGGTGTGCAAGACATTCATTACAACGAATACATACTTCTTGAACAATTAGAAATTTGTGCTGAAATGTTGGAAAAAGCAGAACGATTTGAACTTCTAGGACATCTGTACAGATTAATAGTTCCTATGTACGAAGAAAAACGAAATTATGAAGCTTTAGCAAATTGTTATTCTCACTTGGCACAAGCCTGTAACAAAATTGTTGAAGTTACAAAATCTGGAAAAAGACTTCTTGGAAGATTTTATAGGGTTGCATTTTTTGGCTCAGTAAGTACCATAATTCAAACATAGTACTTTTTTATTACATTCACGGAGCGATTGTGTTTTTTTAGGCGTATTTTGAGGATGAAAATGGACAAGAGTATATTTATAAAGAGCCAAAAGTTACATCTTTATCAGAAATTTCAGAACGTCTCCATCATTTATATTCTGAAAAATTTGGTTCAGAAAATGTTAAAATGATAATGGATTCCGTACCTATCGATATATCTGAATTAGATCCAAAAATAGCATATATTCAAGTCACGCACGTTACACCTTATTTTGAAAAATATGAATTAGAAATACGACAAACAGAATTTGAACAGAATCATAATGTATCATGTTTTATGTTTGAAACTCCATTCACTAAAGAAGGGAAAGCAAGAGGTAGTCCAGAAGAACAATGGAAACGTAGAACAATTCTTACAAGTAGGTTCCCTTCATTGTTATATATTACATTATTTATAAACTTATACGTTATATTATATTTTATGATTTTAGCACAATATTCTTTCCCATATATCAAAAAACGCATTTTGGTAGTTGAAAAACGAATAATGGAACTGAGTCCAATTGAAGTTGCTTTAGATGAAATGCGACAACGTGTCCAAGAATTGGAAGATGTAGCTCTTATAGGTCCAACAGATGTGAAAAAGCTGCAATTAAGATTGCAAGGAAGTATATGCGTTACGGTAAATGCTGGACCACTTGCATACGCTTCAGCATTTTTAGATCCTGCACTGTCTCCACAATATCCAGATGATAAAGTTGAAGAATTGAAAGATGTTTTCAGGTGTGACTTTTAAAATATATTTCCTATATATCAGTTCTATGTGTTATTTTACACTTACATTTAACATTAACATAAACATTTAAAATTTATAAATCTCATTTCCAGGGAATTCGTTAAAATATGTTACACAGCATTACAAATAAATAGCAAGTTAATTACATCTGATCAGCATGAATATCAAGAGGTGTTACGCGAGAATTATCAGAAACTTTGTCAAAGTTTATCATCATTACTTGGAGAACCTATTTGGCCTGATGAACAAGTTGGAAATTTTAAACGTAACAGCGCTGCTTTATTTAGTGCTATCAGTGGTGCTAGTAATCACACAAGTACAGCTTAAAATACAAAGCCATTATAATGAAGTTATCTGCAATTAAATTAGCTTTATTTTTAATGCATTTTTTTATATAAATGGATGGTACAAATTAGGTCACATTAACCCAAGCTTAATTTGCATATGCTCAAAAGCATTTTCGTTACAAATGATGAGTTAATGATTATTGAGATTACAACTGTAAGTAAGATCATTATCAGCATATCTACTTAAATATTTTAATTGCTGTAATCAAATTCATTTGTTTTTACACACTGCGTACATACTATGTATTATTAATTTCATTATCATTTATTTGAATCATAAATATTTAGTTCAAGAAATATATTTCATAACAAAAGAGTACATATTACTCTGTTTGATCAGTATAAAAGTATTATCTCAAGGCCTAACTGTAGAAGGTTCTTAATATGTAATCACTGCCATATTTTCATATATTTAATACATATTCAGTTTCTTTTTTTTTTTAGACAAATGTGTCATTTAAAATTTTATATTGGCAGAAAGATAAAATGCAGAAATACAATTTAGGAACTTTATTTCCATGACAGATTTACTAAATTTTTTCTAGTTGCAAGATTTATAATTATATCTACATTAACATACGATTTTTATGTATTAAGAATATTATAAATACATTTAAATCTAGTTAAATGTAGCATATTTTGGTGTCGAGCACCTAAAGGGGCATTTATATGTACGTATATATTCTGTAAGAAGTTAATGATTTGTACATTAGAATATGTTAAATGTGTAGAGCTTAATTTGTATATATTTGTATAATTTATTCTACATATATGTATTATGTAAAGAAGATGTAGCTAGCAATCATTCTATATCTATGCAAATGCTATTATTAATCGAGAAGAGGAGAATATTTTATGACATCACAACATTTTAAAGAATTTTAATATTAAAATTTTTATATATTTCTTTTTACGTTTTTATATGATAATATTTATTCAGAAATTAAATTAAAATGAAAATAGTAATATTTCACACATAATACTACTGATATTTTTTACAAGTTAGATTTTCATGGTAATATCTCCTCATTTTGGTTAATAATATAATACAATTTTATGGACTATGTACTTAACAAAAACAAATGTATTTTTTCTAACAAATATTTCAAAAAATTTTTATTTTATATTGTGTGCATATCTTCTTTATATAACTTTCTTGTGATAAATTTTTGACAGGGAATAATACTTTATTGTATTTACACCTTATATGATTTTTTCAAAATTACATGTACATAAAAGCACAAGTACTTCAACTTTTACAATACATGTAGAAGCATCGAATATTTTGCAATATTTAGTTCATTGCATTTATTGCACATAAAATTAAATAAACAGTAGAAAATATTTTGTTTTATACAAATTTTATTTTTTAGTTGAATTATGATGAAATTCTGCTGATAATTATATATATATACATATATAAAGCAAAATAGATGTTAAACGTGTTATAGATTTCAATGAAAAAAAAAAAGATTTGCAAAGTTTATGTGTTATTGTATCTAATCAATTTGTATATTGTAATTACTATATATAAAATATTAAGTTTCAATAACTAAATATTGTTATTTACAAATATGTATTATTCGATATTAGAATTGATCATAAAAATTCTTTTATTGAATATAATTTTTACAAATTATAAGATTATTTGCTTTATACAGCTGCAATTTTGGTAGTACAAAACTGCTTATATGACATTTGTGCAAACAAAAATTAGAATTTATAATAAATGCATATATGAATAACTATAAAAAAATGATTCAGTTTAAGTTTAGGAAGATTGTGATTTTATGATTATGTTATAAAGAGTAAATTTTATTAAAGTCAATTACTTTACAAAAATAAAGTTAATTATGTTACTTTTAATATTACTATGACTATTTTATTTTCAAAATTGCAGTTAATTTAAAAATTTACAAAATGGGTGTACAGCTCTTATACTAAAAGGAAAAGGCTGAGTGAAAAATTATATATTTCAATATGTAAATTAAAAATATTAGGCTTATATACTAATAGAATTTAGTCATAAAGTGAATAAACTATAATAATAATAATAACAATAATAATAATAATAATAATAATAATAATAATAATAATAATAATAATTGACTGGAATGTTGTAAAACTTGTGTGCCATGACATATTATTTCTTGTATTCAGACTGCAATTAGTAACTAGTTATAGTGTAAATTAGTGTCACACAATAATGCATCTGAATATTTGGAAATATATGTTGTTACTTGTCTCAACTAATATGATCAATGTAACAAATGATACTATTAGAAATAGAAAGACTTATGCTTACTGAACTATGAATTGTTTACTAGAAAAATAACTAAGTTTAGGGAATAATTATATTTTATACATATAATAATACAGTTAATTTTTCATAACAAAAATTTAAGTTAGATTAATTTTATCAAGATTTATTATTTTTTCAAATGTAAATTTAAAAAGGTTAAAGCTCTCTAAAATTAAGCGAGGCAATAATTATAAATTATTTAAAATTTACAAAAATTTTAATTTAAATGCATATAAATTAAAATTATATAGTTAAGTGTGTGTTAGAAAATGCAAAAGTCATGAATACTTAAAATTGACTTGAAAATAAAGTACAATCAATAATTATTGCTTCATTTTGTATGTTTTATATATATGTATACAATTTGGTTTTGATTGTTATCTAACAAAGCAGAGTAATAGTAAAGTTTGCAGTATTGCAAATTTATTAAATGAAATTTTAAAAAATATGTTTCAAGATACAGTGCCTCTTTAGTTGCAAAAATTTTAATAAATGAAAGTCAAAATGCTGTCCAATAATATGTTATAAATGATGACTTTAAAAATGACTTAAACATAAGTCTGATGACCATGGTATATAAAATATCGCACAAAATACATGACTAGTAATTTACATTCAATATACACTTTTATAACAAGAAAAAAACTTGAATTATGTATGTATGTGAAAGAGAACAACACAATAAGTGTTTAAATCCAATAACAACAGTAAATGGTGCATGAAAATAAATGTTGCAACTATGTAAGTAATTCTAGTGTAATCATAATTTTAACGAGTAGAAAATTAAATTGAGCACTGCATTAAAAATATAGGATCTGCTTTGTAAATTTAGTTTTCATTTGCTTAATGCAATAAACTTATAAAGATATGTAACATTTTTTAGTTTGCAATTATATTAAAAATCATATTGTCAAATGATTTTGAATATTTTATTAAGTATTGACATTGTGCAAATAATAAAATTATTTGTCCAATAAATTAAATAAATTGTAATGTGATAATAAGTTTAAAGTGTACTTACATGATTCACTTATTCCATACCTAAATTGACTTAACAAAATATTCCCTGCAGCTTTAGCTAATGATGTCATAATTATTAATGTGATCCAATTATAGAAACACTATATTCATTAATACATTGTGATTAAAAATATAAAAATAAGAAATAATATGAAGAATACTATTACGATACATAACTTTTTCTTTATTATTAAATTATTAAACTATTAAACTGACGCGTTTTAAAATAAATCAACTGCGCATGATAGATTAATTATAAAATACTATATAAAATTAACTATTCATGCTACGTAAATAATTGTAACAAACTTTACACGAGACATTCGCAGTAACGTTTCAAACAAGACTAATTTTAATTTTACTTGCGATTCTCAAATCGTATAGAATCGAATGATATATTGATTGATGATTCGTTTTGACGACCTCTAGCGGGAATTTACGAATATTAAAAAACATTAAATAATCTTGAAACAAAATGACTACGGCTGCAAGACCCACGTTTGAACCTGCTAGAGGAGGACAAGGACGTGGTGAAAAAGATTTAAGTGCAATATCAAAACAATACAGTAGCAGAGATTTACCGTCACATACAAAACTAAAATACAGGTATTATATCATATTTTATATTTTCAAAAAATATGTGTACACTTTTAATTTTATTTAAGAAATTTTGTATAACTTAGTTGAATGACGAGTCAAACATAACCTTATTTACATGCATTTGTAGCATTAATGAATTTAATTTGTAGAGAGCATGGACAGGGAACAGTAGAAGAACTGCGAAATCGTGATTTTCGCAAGGAATTAGAAGAAAGGGAACGTGAGAGGGAAAAGGAGAAAAGTTCTAATCGACGTATGATAGAAGCACCTAGGGAAACTTCCACAACAAGTGCTAAAAGACAAAAGATTGATCAAGTACCTACAGCAAGTTTAGATGCAGATGATCCTCTTGATGATGATGATTCAGAATCAGAAAGTGATGAAGATGATACTGCTGCTCTTTTAGCTGAATTGCAACGCATTAAAAAGGAAAGAGCTGCAGAACAAGCTAAAAAAGTAAAATTTCCACATTTTTAATATTACACGTTCTATATACATTAAATTTTATACTTTCACTAAGGCTTATATTCTATTTTATTTTTTCCATATTTCAGGAAATGGAGAAACGACAGGAAGAAGAAAGAATAAGAATGGAAAACATCCTGTCTGGGAATCCTTTACTAAGTTATTCCTCTCAGAGTGGAAGAACAGATATGAAAGTTAGACGTAGATGGGATGATGATGTTGTATTTAAGAACTGTGCCCGTTCTGAACCAAAAAAGAAACATGATGTGTTCATAAACGACTCGTTAAGAAGTGAATTTCACCGTAAATTTATGGAAAAATACGTTAAGTGAACAAACTACTGTAATAAGTATATTGTGCTTGTACATAATTTTAAGTTAATGTTATCATACTATCTATAAGTATTTCACACTATGGTTTACAATCAAAATAATGTAAAAAGCTATTCTTATTACACAAAAACTATTCAAAAATTTTAGATATGATTAACTTTATAAACATGTGTCATTAAATCATATATTTAATTTTACATATATGTATCTCCATCTATATTTGTGAACGAGTTATACTACGAAATCCATCGAATTAAAACACGAATAACTAAAAGTTATCGTACCGTTTGAGTCTAAAAATAGGAAGTGTCATCAAGTTCATGGTGTTTTCTTCCGTTTTCCAATGAGATTCTGTAAAATCTCAATATTCGTGATTCTATAGATACACGTGCTTGTTTTCGTGCCTAATCTATCTCCAGCAGAATCACCCTAATAATTTCGCAAAGAAGTCGTTAAATTCTTCATATGTAAAAATAAGCGAACAAATATTCGGAGTGGGAGAGGAAAAGAGCAGGGTGAGCCAGAGTGGAATGAGGCGGATTGAGGTAGCATGTATCGGTTCGACGGAGATCGTTGATTGTACGAGAGAGGGAGAGACAGAAAAGAGAAAGAGAGAAGAATAGAAGGAGAGAAAAAGAACAAGCTAGCCGAGTGTGCTGAAGTTTGTCCAGGCAATGTAGGTACGTGTTTCGGTAGCGGTGCGATCCGGCCTCGGCGGTGGTGGTGCTGATGGCGGCAAGCGCGTGTAAACCGCTGGGTCAAGTATAACCGGTCCCAGGATCCCCGGAGCAGCCGGAGGCAGCAGGCAGTCTACCGGTACGACGCGCAGCTGGTTATCGCCGGTAGACTCCCTGGCACCGACCTGGCCAACTAACGCAACAGGGACACACGAGGGGCCGGCCCGACTCGACCAGCGGAGAGACAGAGAAAGAGAGACGACCGTTCACTGGTAGATCGCCTCGAGATGATTTCTGGGAAGAGATATGTCGTACGTTACGGTACGGTCGATCGGTTCTCTGTGCGACTGAATTCGTCATCGTCGATTCCATCCTCTTTAACTTCTTCTCGAACCTTCAAATTAGTTACAGTGGACACCGGTGCTGTTCAAATACCATTGTTCGGATCTAGTCTTGACCACTGATCTTTGTGACGTTTACGTCTTTTGCTGTGTTAATGGACCGTAATTGGTATTTCATCCGAGAAAGTTTCTCCCAGTGGATGCGTCTCATTTGTATAAAATAGTGTAAGAAAGAGTTTAGCGATGGTACTATGTTTATCTTATGATAAGTAGATTATAGGAATCTTGGAATTCTTTTTTGAAACGGTGAAATTATCCTACGATAAATTGATTTTATAATTCGATAAAAGTTAATGAAATAAATAACTGAATGAAATTATAATAATTATCACTGTTCACTTTAACCGTTCAATTGAATATATTATGTAATAATAATAATAATGTTAAATTTTAATCTTAGAACGAAATTGTTCCTCGTATTTCCATACATCTATTGATTAACGAAGCATTTAAGTTAAAACTTGAGTTTATTTTTCGAAATTTCACGAATTCAAACTATCACTAGAGTTTCTTGATTCTGGATCTACGTTTTCCAAAAATGAAACAGAAAAGAGGAGCGTGGCCGAGGAAACATGGTAAATCAGTGAACACGCGGTCGAACGGCGCGCTAAAAATGCAGAGTTGTCGAGTTTTCTTCAAGAGGATAATCTCTGAGGGAGGGATTTCCCCGGTGAACGCACCTCTGGATTCTGCAGCGGCCGATGCTCGACGGGAATTCGCCCTGAGGGCACTCTCCCTTCCTTTCCCTCTATCTGCTGCCACATTTTTTATTTACCTCCTATATTCCTCTATTTACTTTATTTATTCCGTTGCTGTTGGTCAGTCGAGAAAGAGAGTGTGCTGGATGAGAGACAGAGAAAAAGAGAGAAACACGGGGAGAGAGAGAGAGAGAGAGAGAGAGAGAGAGAGGGCGGGAGAGTGAACTGCAGCATCTCTTGCTTTTCTCCAAGAGTTCCATCCACGGACGTGCAGAATGACGAGCCAGGGCTGTAAGCTACCAACGTTTTATTGGGTGAGCCGGTATGCATCGATAATGGAATCCCCTCCTATCCTCTTCAAAGATGCTTTCAGGATTATCTCCGTGGAATTGAGATCCGAACATTGCGGAATAAGCGGACGGTATGCGTGTGTCCGACACCTGTAAGAAGAACGTTGGTATGTGCTTAATGCTTGTCGCATGCAACCGGTCGAGTTGTTTGCGCGACCAAGTAGAACTTTAGTGTCGTCGCTATGAAATGGAGTTGTTAAACCACGTTATATTTGGTTTTTAATTCTAATCGAAGTCCGTTTCTCCTTCGAGAACCTGTAATTTGAATAATGTAATAATTTGTATTTACAACGTGCTTCTAATAAATAGTCCAGCGTTGAATGAAATGTAGAGATTTACTTGGTGTCGCATTATAGTTGAATGTGGTATTTAATAATTACTTTCGATCGCTTGTTTATGATATTAATCGTTGATAAGGATTCATGGAATACTAAAAAAGAAAATGTATCGATCTATTTACGAGGAAAATAAGAATGCATTTAATAGGTTAATTAAAATTTAATTATTTTTTTTGGAAATTGTTTCTCGACGAATATTGATAGAATGATAGAGATACGAACAATGCATCGATTAACCTCGTTGAACGTTTTGGAAGAGTGAAATAAATTTTTATTATTCATTCATTGTGTCATTTTTTCGTAATTATTATTAATATATAATAATAAAAGAAATTTATTTGTAATTAACAATTTCTGATATCGTTCAATAGTAAATGCTTTACGATGACAAAAATTGTCAAAATTGAAAAAAAATTAAGATTATTCGTTTACTTTAACGCTATTAAAGCATCGCAAAACCACGGTCGGATAGAAAGGAACGGGCAGCTTCGAAGTAAACAAGTAAAATCTCTTGATATCACGCTTAAAAATACCTGGTAAATTTCTATTTGCTCTTGCATTATTCATCGACGAGAAAATCTATTTAGAAAGGTAACACGAAAATGTTACACGCAGTTGGTGGCATAACCGTGTATTTTCTAGAGGTCCATGCAGAGAGGTTAAGTTGGATCTTCTTTTTCATCTTCCTTTTTTAATTTCGCTTTATAGGCCCGCGAATACCTACCAACGAAGAAATTGTGTCGAGTAAACAAATATTTCTTACAACAAACTGGATATTATAAGCCTTGTGCTGGCTTTATTGGCAGATTAATGATACTACCGACTCAGATTCGCTTTCACCGTCGTCCGCCCACCCCGACCCCTTCTACGTTTATAGCTGGTTGCGCATAAATATGACACGCGACTTATTTTTTCTTCTGCATTTCTAGTAAAAATTCCCTATGAGAACACGATATTCGCGACTAATTTTTTAATTGGTTGAATTTATTCGAATGGCCAGTTAAATTTAGGTGGTTCGTAAAGAGGAACTCTTTGGAGTTATTCATAAAGTGCAAATGTTTTATTGTTGACTTTATGAGCTGTAACTTTGGTAAAAATGTTGGTAGTGCTTAGTGGTTATACAGTTACGAGCTACTTAGAACGTTTTGTGTGATGATTTATGATAGTCGTATAGTTTGATGTAATGTACTTTGTTGTAATGAACAAGAAATTATGCTCTGGATAGAGATATGTAATAGCCTCCATACACGGTAAAGCAAATAATTTATGGTGACGAACAGATTGTTTAAAATGTGCTAAAAATTGTTATCGTGTAAATTCAGATTGTATGGTGATAGTACCTTATGTACCGACACTTTTATTTTATTTTTGTACAAGTTTAAGTAATTATTAGTAAATGTATATTTACAACGAATTTTATATATGATTTATTCGTTTCGGACGACTTAAACGGTAAATGGCATTACAATAATTAATTAAAAACAATCTTTTTAAGAATTTTCTTATATCTTAACATCTTTTACACCGAATATTTTTCATATCTCTAAAATAACAAATATAATTTTCGATCCATAAGTCTTCAAAAATCGAAACCAATAGCGAAGCACAATTTTTAGAAACGGCTAACCTAAACTATGAGGTTTTGAGATTCATTATAAAACACAAAAACACAAATTCCTCCATTCTCGTCAAATTAATAAATCACCTTTCATAGAATCCTTCTCTCACGTTATCTAAATCGATACCCAGGACCACAAGCGTTTCCAAAAATAAATGTCTGTAAAGGTTGCATGCCATCGAGGCGCGCGTCTTCGAAAGGAATTTCTCGTACAGCCAACTTTCGTGTCAACCGCTGCATACCATCCCGCCGCGTTACCGAACAGCCTGTAAACAAATTCTTCGTTGTGGCAGCGTGTTATCCGAGGTAAGCTCCATTTTCGTTCGATTTGTTACATTCATAAGCTTTCAGGCGGATTTTTCATGGGCGCGTTTTAGTGTCCCCCTACCGGAAACAAAGGACAGTTTTCACCGGTGGAAAGTATTAGAAGTGGCTACTGTGTGGCGCGGTTATCGGGCAGAAATTGCACGCAACTGGTCTAGATGGCGAGCTGATAAAGTTTCAAGGGGTTGAAAAAGTGGAAGAATGCTCAGGTTCGGTCGGCCGCCATCGCACGATGTTCTTCGCTAACCCTGATCTCCGGCACCACGTTAGAGTGCCGAGTAATACCAACGATCAGGGCTGGTGAACGCCGCCTACTTCTTCGGCAGGGGCGGTCCTATCTCTATGACCCAGGGACGTGCAAATGTCTTCGAAAATTCAGTGGATTGGCCCGAAAGAAAATTTCATTAAGAATTTATATGAACCGTGGTTCGTTCTTTCGTTTCTTCATATCATTTCGTATCATCATTTAGTTATCGTAATATGTTTATTTTATGAAATTTACCTTTACATTGTTTACTTTCTTGTTTTTATAATTTTTTCTTTTTCGTTTTTTCTTTTTGCAGGTGTAAGTGGAAAGTTTTCTTCGACAGTTTTACGGTCACACGGCTGATCATGAAAGCGAACGAGGAAAAGTGGGTATAATTCGACGAGCAAACAGGAGTACTGTTCTCTTTCTATATAAATCCTGTTGAACAGTTCGAATGAAGGATCTTATTTTTTTTTTTGTTAACGGTAGCTGTTACACTTCCGAAAGTTGCAAGTCTGGCTGAAAAGAAGCGAAGAAATTTATTTCGATTGGTGAAAGCAACAGATTCGCCCTTTTCGGTGTGTTAAACGACACCGATGTATGTTTAAATGATACGCATTCCGTTTGACATTTTACATTTTTGAATTTTGATCGTTAAATAAGATAAGCGTCTTTTAGGTTATGAGAATGACGCAATCTTACCATTGACGCAGCCAAAAAATTTGACTAAAACATGAATATATGGATAAATTTATTACATCTGTCGAAGAGATAAAATATTTATTCTAAACACTGTGAAAGAATACGCAACTTTTCACATATACAATTAAACACAAGTAGGTATTTTTAAAATATTACTATAATTTGTACAAAATCAAAATATATTCTTTAATTCCCTATATTCATTAAACAAAACTGAAACCACGTAGCTCGTAATGTATATATAGCTAAATATACAATATTCAAACGATAATGATTAAGCTATTATAACGAAACAAATAAATAAATTAATATATATATCTACATTTCGTAATTTCTATCTAAATAAAAGATTTTTTTATTTTATCAGGAGCAGTTGCAAGTGCCCAGTAATCATAAAATCAATAATTTTGACGCGTTTGTCAATCCAAGAGTTAAACCAATTGAACCAGAACCTATCTCGAAAATCAAAATCCATCTTCTGGAGGTACCAATTGAAATTTCTCCATTGCCCATCCGTACCTATCTCTCGTCGCGCGCCTTGCATTTTCCCTCGTATTTGTCGTTTTTAGCAATCAAGCCACGCGCAAAAAGGTCGCGAACGATCCCAGTGAAAGTAAATCAAATTTGCAATCGTCGCGTGTTCGCAGGGTCGCGTCGAGGCAAGTGGTTGCAGAAATTTCGCGTGCCGCGTGGACGTATGTAGATTGAATTCGCGTTTATCCGTGCTCAAACGCCACCAGCCTTCCATTACGTAATAGTTACATTGTAACATGCGTCCGCGAACCTCTTCGGAACCTTGCAAACATCTGGTATTACATGCAACATTCCACGAATGCCGCGTTAGGCGTGCGACAAGCGTTGTACGCAATACTCGCGTGTACTCTCGGCAAACAATCTAATCGTGAGCAGAACGTTTTCACGTTACCACGACACCGGCTATCCTTCATTTTCGCGGCTCTCTTTATCGCGGCCATCTCCACAAACTGCTACGTTCTCCGTTCTCGTCGATATCGTACATTATCGCGACATGCCGTTTGCAAAACGATCGAACGGCCGAATACTTTCCCCTTTTCTTATTTAACGCGTTACATGTACACGCGCCACGTTCAAACCTTGTCCTGTTACTCAATAGCCATCGAAGGCGTAACGATAGCAGGATGATCAATGAGTATCATCGCATTCGTTAATCGTCAAGTGTCGATGATGTTTAGGGTTGTTTTTTAATATTTGATATAATTTTCGTTTGCAAAATACGAGAAGATATCGGAGTTGGGAGATACGCGAAATTTGGATTGATCCATGATGACTTTTAACACCTTACAGACGAATGCTGTGATGTTTTTGTTTATCGGATAGAAGACGGTGTATGTTGCAGAAAAAAATAATTTTATTATCTTCTTTATTGTCGTACATGTTTTTCTGTTTCGAGAGTTTCTCTCGTTTTGTAATTTTTACGAAATTCACTATTCTTATTGCCATTCACAATGGATTAATAGGGTGTTTGTTTCATATTAGTGGATACTGTAATGGTAGATGCATTTTCCGCGAAATGGTAAATACGGACAAGTGGTAGAGTAGATTGAAAGGTGTGCAACGTAGAGTGGTCGTGGCGTATACGAGGTGGAATGAGTTTTTGATGAAGTAAATTAGCGCAGGCATTAGGTTCACTGGAATTGTCATAGCGGCGCGCAAAGTATTCGGTTGAGTAAGGTTTTTTACGGATTCTTTTGACAGAGAGGAGATTCAACGAATGTTAGAAGTCGTACGAGTAAATTATTTTATAAAATACCAAATCGTCGTAAATAGGAATTTAGAGACACGCGTTAGAGGTGCGAACGATTTATGAACGAACGGGAGAAATTCTTCGACAATTAACTTAATAAAATCAAATAAACACTTTTGTATATTATTTTACAAAATGTAATATCTTTCGATCTAGAATTTTTAAATCTTCGAAAAGTCGCAGTGGAAAAACGATTCGACAAATTTTAACACTTAACTATCAAAGGAATCAAAGCGACTTGTCCTGGACATTTTACGCTTGCAGTTACTGGAAATATGCAGCTACTTTTGGCAGAGATAGTATTAATTTTGATTGAAATAGAGTCGTAATTACGTGTGCTTCTTTATTTTTATTGTCCCACATAAATTATCATTAATAATGTATAATTCTAGTGTCGATGTCAATTATGCTGTTAAAACAGCATTCAACAACTAACCTTCAAGACCAACAACCAGCGCAGTTCCAAAAAGCAGCAAATGCACTCGGTCTGAATCAACCCCTCGGTAAGTCTCGCATCGTCCATTAGCTAATTAAATACAATCTACCTCCACCGTTTCAGGACACCTCTTCGACTGGACATCCAACCAAATATATTTCTCCACTAGCGAAGTACACGAGATTCCACGGTCGAACATCCTACTTATCCGCGCGACCAAGTTTAATCATGAAAAATCCGCCAGTCAGACAGCAACTCTGTCAAACGCATCGCGATATTCTGCAAGAAAACAAGAAGGAGTAAAGAAAATCACGTGACAAGAAGCATAAATGAGAGAGAAACAGAAAGAATCAGTACGATGATGATCATCGCTATTAGAAGAAGAAGAAGAAGTAGAAGAGGATGAGCCGAAGCAGGAGGTGCAAAGCCGAAACGAAGGGAAGGCAAGAGAAGAGAAAGGACGAAGAGGATGAAAGAGGAGAAGCGAAACGAGGAGGACGGACGGAAATAGAGGAAAGGATCAGTATGTACGCGTGGCTACCGGCGTGGCAAGGCAAAAGCGATGCGAGCGAGGTGAGTCGAAGCGAGGCGAGGCGAGTCGTGGCGAGTGGCAGCGGGGCGCGGAGTAGCGAGGCGCGGCGCGGAGCGGCGAGGCGAAGCGAAGCGAGGCGAAACGAGGCGACGCGCGAGCGAGCCAGAAGCAAAGGCAGAGAGGAAGGCAAAGCGAGGCGTGGCTCTGTCGGAGGAGCGGTACGGCCCTGGGAGGCGGTGGTGAGGCCTCGCGGAGGAGCAGCGACGACGAGGAGGTGCACGGCACGGGCCAGACAAACAGACTGGCACTGGCATCGCGGGAGTCGGCGGCAGTGGTCACCGCTGGTCACCGAGACGGTCTCGAGAATCAGCCGTGTGCGCGTTTCGCGAACATGCGCCCCGTGTATCCTTTAAATCGCTCCACGGGCAAAGTGCGCGCTGTTATGTGCCTTTTCTTCGATCCTCGATCGCAATAACGAGAAGAACGAACGATCGGATAAGTCTGGAGGATCGAGTTCGATCGGCCGACTCCGCGCTCCGATACTTCTCTGTGTGGATAGACAGCGGGGAAGTAAAGTCGATCGGTTGTCGGATTGGGTGATATCGCAACAACAGACTGAGACGAAATTAGAAACGATAGAACGGGTAGAAAAGAGCGACACGGAGTTGGAGTCGATACATTTGAATCGAGGAGGACAGACTCGCACAAAGGTGATAAAGGAGAGAAAAGAAGAAAAGCCAAGTTGCGAATAACGGTGTACAGGGATCAAAGTAAAGGATAACCAAAGAACTCTGACGGGATTGAGTAAGTTGTAGCGTATAGTTGTATAGTTGCGCGTCGGGACGGTACGAGAGAGTGGTTGGTGTCGTCGCATAGCGATCATCGGACAGACGATCGATCAAGATCGATCGGTCCTGCGGCATCTGGATCGCGGCTCGATCGCCTCGGCGGCGGTCCCGCTCGGCGTCCACGTTGGTGGCTCGATAGGAACGACGACGACGACGACGACGTCGTCGTCGTGCGAACGCCGACGTAGGAGGAGGAGGAGGCGGTGGCGTAGGGGAAGGTGGTGCTGGTGGAGGTGGTGGTGGAAGCGGCGGGAGGTAGAATGGTGCCTTCCGGCCCGTGTCGATCTCGAGCGGAAAGACGCGCCGAGATGTCGCCGCGCCGTCTCGCGCCCCTGCTGATCCTCGGGACGATCCTCGCCGGGCTGACGAGCACCGCCGCCGCGGAGAGGATGAGCGGCCTCTACGTCGACAACGGCTTCGACCAGACGATCGTCCACAGGGTGGTCAGTCAGCGCGAGAAACGCGAGGTTGAGCACGAGATATTGAATCTTCTTGGATTACCGGATCGGCCGAGAAGTACGGCCGGTAGGCCGCCACAGGTCAAGAGGTCGGCGCCCAAGTTTCTCTTGGACATATACAAGAACGCTCTCGGCGAGGACGAGGACGAGAAGCCGATCGGCGAGCAACGTAGGGCCGGCGAGTTCGACCTCACCGGCCAGGATCTCAGGGCCATCGACCAGAGCGACGTCATCATGACCTTTGCCGCGCACAGTAAGTCATTATTCTGTTCTTTCCCTCTCTCTGCGTACATGTACACTACTGTTTCCTCCGTTTGGTCGCGCGCGCGTCTGCACGCGTCGCGACGTTCCTCTGTCTCTTCTCGCGTTCGTGTCATCGCGTTTACGCGGCTCGATCGTCATTGTTACTCGCGCTTCGTCGCGTAAGTACGTACTATGTCGCGTATGTACGCGTAGTACGTGTGTCGCGCAGACGAAGAAGCAGCCGGAAGGTGGGACGACGACGTCTGTCGTCAGCGACGACGTCGTCGTTTGCCGAGCTCGCGATATTCCGGATGACGTCTCTTTCTCTCCATGGCGTCCCATCCACCGTTGCGATCCATCGGAATCGGTCAGAATGAATTCTCTCTGCTCGGCCTCGGAGGTTAACAGGTTCCGCGAACGCGTTTTCCGATGGCATGCGTCTAGTTTGCGCGCCGCGCGGGCTGCTGCCGTCGTCCAGCTCCAATTTTCATTTCACGCTGACTCCACGGACACTTTAACCTGGGCTAGTTTCCGTTCTCGTGTAATTTTCTCTCTTGTTTGGATTCTTTACCATGTCACGTGACTAGAAAGAGTTTTGGTAACCCTTCGAATCTTCTTTTGCTCGCTAGACACTGTGCTACTGTGTCTTATGTGTTGTATCGTTTTGGAATATCGTTATGGTGGCGTTGGGTAATTTATTCGTGATTCTTGGATTCTAGTTGGAAGCATTTGTCTTCGATTCTTAGAGCAGCGAACAGTGATTATTTATTTAAGTGTAAATACAAATGTAGTTGAAACATTAAATGTGGAGCACATGCTGCGTCTTGTAATTCTTGCTAATTTGTTTTGGGATTTACTCGAGGAATCTGTGATAAAATTTAACCACGAAGAAGACCAGTTGTATTTGGTAAAAGTAATATCTTTTGCTAAGTAAGATAAAAACTCTATCTTAAATAGGGATCATTGTTGTATTTGGAATGAAGATTCGTGAATGACCATGGATACGCGACTTGAAATTGTGATATTTGCCTAATTAAATATACGAGGTATGGTGATAGAGATATTTACCTTGTATATCTTCTAAAAAAGCTTTGAAATATGTGAAGAGTATTCGAAACATCGGTGTTAAGGTAAACCGAAGATGTGTACGAATGATAGAATACTGATTGCTAGATCAATAAAGATCCGATAATAGTCGTGTTGACCTATCGATATTTCGGATGTGATTATTTATTCAGCCAGATTGCCTAGAAATTGTTTGTTTAATACATTGTTATCATTGCGCTAAAAATACTTTGCCACATTCATATTTGCGAATCTCGCAATAGCAATTGCGTACAATCGATGAACTTTATCGACTAATTATTAATTTTGAATTCAATCTTCGAAAGAAACTTCTGATCGAGGAGCGACCTAGTTAGTCGCGTAATAATATCTACGTTAGTCACGTGAAGTATGGTATTCTTGCTCTTTTATGGTAATGTTCTGGTGTGTGAAGAATGAATCATCTTTCACAGATTAATCTATCAACTTTAGAAGTATCAGAGTTTTCAAAGAGATTCTTTCGTGTATGAATTCTTATGCGTCGGAAGTAAATATTGTCGAACAATCACAGTTTCTTTCAAGACAGAAAATTGCGAACAATCGTGCTTGTTAACAAAACTAATAATTCCGATAATATATTAATAAATCGCTTTATTTTAATTGGTTACATTATTTGTTCGAGAGTATCGATACGTGGTCAAGGGTTAGAAAATAATTTCAGACAAATTGACTTACTTCACTCGTAACATATGTAACCATGCTTTTGAATAATATCTTTAATGCAAATATAATTAAGACAAAATTTCCTAAAAAATTTGGCATATTCGTTTTCTCTTGCAATAATGATGCAGTTCTTCGAATTACACTTCGAGGAGAATTTCTTATATCAGAAGTAAGATCTGTTCTAATTTTTTCATCTTAAGAAATGAATCTGATCAATGAATCTCTTTTCATCGATTTTTCTTTGCAAAATATCGATTTCTATTTCGATCAACGAGCAGGAATAACTTGTCGATTTGAAAAAAATTTGATCGATGTTCTACCAATTTTCTCCTGCAGAAGATGGATTTCCACTCCAACCAACGTCCTCTAGACTCTTCTCATTTCCAACGAATAGTAATTTCTTAATCTGAAAAAAAAAGTTCGATTAATATCTTACCGATTTTCTCTGCAAGAAAATCGATTTATACTTGAATCAACGTTCTCTTGACTTTCCTCATCTCCAAGTAATTTCTTGATTTAAAAAGGAAGAAAAAGAATTCGATCAATCGATTTTATTTTACACAATATTAATTTTCATTTTAAACAACGTTTTACCGATTCTTCTTATTCTCACGAAATATTTCCAAGTAATTCCTTAATTTTAGCCAGATTCGATCGGTCTATCTCTTTTTACCGATTTTGTTTTGTACGATATCGATTTCCATTTCAACCGACGTTCAATAAATTCTCTCCGTCTGCAAGAAATAGATTCGATCGAAGAACGGATTTCGTTCTATTCAACGAAATTCAGTGGAATCGCGGAATATCGCGCGGAAAAAGCAACGACAGGGACTTGCCTCGGAAAGGCGAAAAGAGAAAAGGAAGAACCGGTGGTGGAAGAGAGAAATGGTGGAATTGGTGCGAGAACTGGTTCCTTAATCGGTGGATTTGAATCCAGAGATACTTTGAAAATGTTTTCAGTGCCGATCGATATAATTAACACACTGTATGAGTTTACTTCAGGATTATAAATCGCTTTACCAACTGGATTCTACCGGTTTAGAAGCAGTTCTCGTGGGTGTGAGCATTCTGCGGCAAGGAATGCTCGTCTAGCGTTTCTTCGGTGACTTTGGCAGATCCTCCGCTGGTTCTCGAATATCGTCCAGCAAACAACCTGATCACGATTATCGAAAGACTCATTCGGTTTCTCGTCGCGTTCGCTACGGCTGATTTTCGTTCACAGAGCACCGGGATCATGGTTATTTTTCAGAGACTTATACGATACTGGAAAGAACGAGATATCTCGTTGCTCGAACCCGGCATGGAACATGAAAAGACGAGATATCTTGTTACTGGAATAGTGAATGGGTCAGAAGTCCTTGATTCGTTAAAAAAATCGCCATGATAGAACCGATGGTCCGTATTATGGGACATCGTGCTTTAACCCTTCGTTGTCGTATGCGAATATTTATTTCTTTGCCTCTGTACGTACTGCTTTTTGTAAATTTTTTGGATAACTGAATTTCTTGATAAATTTCAAATCTGCGAATAAGCATTTAAAGAAATTAATAAAGAAAATTTAAGAAATTCAAAAAGTGGAGTTAACTAATATTTCACTTTGATCGGATCATATATTTTATGAAGATTTATCCTTGTTGTTACTTTCTAGAAACTAATTGTCGAAACTTAGGTTGATTCTTAGAAAATAAAAAGTAAAAGATTGATCAAGCAAATCGCGGTAATATAGAAAATGATGGTAACCGGAAATTAAGATGGCGATTAGGCTTCTTGGATGTCTCGAGGCAAGTGTCGATATGTCCATGCGCTGAAGAATAATTGCAAGCTATCCAGGATACTTTTACAATTTGGCAAAATTACGAGCAGAGGAATCGAAGTCGTTTTGCCGTTTCTATAATGGGAAACATAGAATCCGACGAAGGAAACGTAAGAGAAATTCTAACGATTACCGTCGATATCCTGTGAGACTTCGATATTACGACTAGATCCTACCAGTTTAAAAGTAGAACACCGATTTCCGTGGTTGTTCTGCGGGTTCTTGTCCCATAATATCCGCCAAGGAACAGTAAATTGATCCACGCCACACGTTCGAAATCTGAAAAATACGCCTGGGCTTTGCTGGATATCTTAATCTCTATCGAAAGAATATTTTCCAATCGTTTATCATACTACAATCGCCTAAGTCGAATATCGCAAATATCGATCTCGAATATCAACGTGACCAGCTTCGATCTTTTCTTTCCTCGAATAATAAATACGAGCCAATAAATGCTGCCGATTTTATTTTCTACTTTTATTTCACTATTTTACTAGATTCGCATACCTAACAGAATTTCGAAGATCGTGAATCGATTTGTGAACGTAATCGAGTATTCGAAATTTAAATTTATGGCATTTAAATTTGTTAGAGACTTTTAACTAAAATATGGTCTTCGTCGTCATCGTTTATATTATACTATGACTATTTAAATCGAATATCAGAAATTTAAATCTCGAATGTAACATAATTATCTCAATTTTTCCTTTTTTCGAATAATCAATACAATTTAATAGCTTTTTATGATTTTATTACTTTCTACTTACATTTATTTTGATATTTTACTAGTTTCGTGTGTTGAATTAAATTTTGGAAATTATAAATGAATATGCGAATACAACCAAGCATTCGAAATTTAAATTTCTGGGATTCAAACTTGCTAGAATTTTCTTAACTAAGATATCGCCTGCTAGTTATTTATTGCACTACAATTACTTAAATCGAATATCAAAAGTCTACATTTTAAATATAACATGATCATCTCCTATCGTTTCTCTTTTCTCGAATAATCAATACGACTTGACAGTCGAATTCGTGTTCCATTAATTTCTCCTATCTAATTAATTTTCAAAAATTGCAAATCGATTCGCGAACATGACCACCCGTTCGAAATATAAATTTATGGGCTGCGGACTTGCTGAATGATCTTTCAATCAAAATACGAACGCGTAGTTCCTATAGTCAGCTGGAAAATAGATATCAAAAGTAGTCTGATAACGTAAATTTTGAAATTGCAGCTGGTTAACATTGATCGAAACGAGACGAAGAAAGAGGGGGAGAAAAAAGTGAGAAGAAACGGATTTCCATTAGTCGAATCTCAGTTCGCGTTCTCCGTTCTGAAACGCGAACCTGTTTCTCGCAAATCTGTGCTTCCGCATGCATATTCATCGAGAGTCGAACATAATAAAATTTGAAGGCATATCGATTTC